ATACATTGTCATCTACATATTTAAGTTATTGATGTATCTTCTTCCAATTTTCACTCCTGCCTCTATTGATAGTAATCCAACTTTCCTCATGTTCTGCATGCAGAATGAACAGATAGAAAGATAAAATATACCTTGGCTGGTGCTTTTGCCTATCAGAAACCATTCTGTTTTTCCATATTCTTTCCTAAATGTAGTTTCTTTCTACAATAAAGGTTATTCATCAGGACAATCAAGTGCTGAGACACAAACTTTTCTTTCAGGACCACCAATAGCTTCCCATGATTTACACAGTCAAGGGGTTTGCTATAGACTATAAAGCATAAACTGATCTGAAATTATTGGGTGTGCTCCAATAGTCAATGAATATTTTTGACATGATCTTGCGTGCGTTTTCCTATTTATCCACCTTGAATATCAGGATTTCTTATTGCTACTTTATATAGGATAACATTATTTGCTGCAGCACCTTGAACATCACTTTGTTTCCATTGTCCTCTGCTTTGCATCTCCTTTTTTGTGGATTGGGAAATATATTAAGTCCTATTTTATTTTTCATATTTGTTGCATATTCTTGTTAGGATTTGGAGCAAGTCATTTTCTGCAGTTTGATATATTGATACTCTATCTTCTCTGGGCACTAGTTTCCTTCCAGGTGATCTCAGAGCAGCTTTCATTCGCTGGCTCTTCCTCATAAGATTTGCCTTCAGAGGAGTCTGTCATCTTTTCATTTCTTCTGGATGGTACTTCTGTATATTGTTGCTACCTAATCTTCACTTTTTCTGGAACAGATAATATGTGCCTCTGTTGGTCTATCAGCATTCCTAATAGCACTTTGAATTTCCCTTTGATTTCTTAGTTCTTCTGGAAGAAGTCTCTTGTTCTTTACTCTTTTGTTGTTCTTACCTGTTTTCTTTGCACTGTAATAGTTTTTTGTCTCTATGTGGACTTTGCATTCAGGATTCTGACACCATTTCTTCACTTTTTGCTTCTTTCCAGTCCTTAACCATTGTAAGTGCTTCAGTCATCTATCAAGGCTTCCTCTTTTTTCTGTTACAAGCTTTTTTACTTTATGCGTTTTTATCAACCATGTTTGTAGTTTCAGTCAACAGTTTTTCTGGTTCATACTTGGTTCAGTTCAATAAAGCAACACTTTTTAAAGTTTAAAGTCCACTTTTTGAAGTGGAATTTCAGTTCCTCAGGAATGTCATTTGAGTTCTATTTTGGCACTATACTTCTGTTAGGGTTCATTTCTGGCTTTGCATTTTTAGCATAAGAATTATTTAGAAGTGGTTTAGTATTGCTTTCTTCTGAGCAGTACTAACCAGAGTTGACTTGTGCATCATGGTTGTTGTCTGTGAGAGATCTTCTACCAGGGTCAATTACTGCTGCTTCCCTGTAGCTGCCCTTCAGGAGTTTCTCTGCCCCCATCACCATTAGAAAAATCCTTTCCCTTCTGCTGATGTGACCGTTATTCCTGAAGAGAGGGGTGCCTCAGAATTTGGCCTCCTGGCATTTTTCTTGGCTTCTCCAACACCCTCAGATTCCCTCACAACGTTAAGTTGTGCATCCAAGAGGGGTTTAAAAATTTTCAAACTCTGTCCCAATTACCTTAAGCTTCTGCCATAATGGGGCTGGGGAATGCTTTTCAGTTCTTAACAAGCACATGGACAGCAGCCTGGGCGCCATATCACACATCCCAGATGAATAATCTGTTCCAGAATTGTAACCTCAAGGGCTGTTCCTCAAGGCAGCTCAAGGGGGTTGCACCTATCCCTCACCCTCTCTGCCAGGGAAATGCAAGCGGGTCCTCAATGCACTCAGGAGTGCATTCCCAGTTCATAGCAAGGAAGTGCAGAAAAAGTGTTAAAACCACTCTTAAGAAAGTGATTGTATCTATTATAAATACGTTGAATCTTGTCCATTCTTACCACTTTAGGACTGTGCTGAAAACAAATTAAGGTTCTTCTGTAACATGTTTTCAGTCCTCATAGTTGGGATTTTTAAAAAAATAACCTTTCTTTAGCAATCAGAAGCACTCCAATCACATTCTAGATCCAGTACCTGAGAACCTGAAAACATTCACTTTGTACTATTGCAGAACATTCACTTTTTCCTACTTCAGCTGTCCCAGCTGGCTGAAAAAAACCTGGACACTACTGGACTAGTTTGATTACTATAGCCCTTGGTTGTCCCCATGACTGTTTATCCCCTGATGTAACAGTTAGTGAGCACAAAAGGAACTAGCCAGGAAATATTCCAGTTCAAATCCTCCAAACCTAGGAAACATTTTATTTTTGATTTGGGAACACCTAAAATGATTTCAAAGCCTGTGTGTGCCTGCTTTGGTGTTTGCCAGTGTGTGTGATCCAGGACAGCCCCCTACCAGGGCTGGGCACACCTTTTCAAGGAGATCTACCTGACACAATCTTCATGGTGTAAACATTTCACTAGCCTGCTGATTTAGTAAATAGCTCTTCCCGTTTCCTATGCATATAGCACCAGAATGATTTGCTGTTTCAGCTTCTGGAGGGTTGAATATTATTTTCCTAATTACCTCCACGAGATGGATTTTTCCATTAAGCTGTGCTGGTGTGGCTTTCCTAAACATGTTCCTTTTCCTATAAGCATCTACATCTAACAGAATAACTCAGGACTTTATTTGGCATAACCAAGTGCAGGAAAAATCCCTCCTTCTCCTTCCTGAGTGCTCATGAATTTCTCCATGGATTCAAATTTTATCTGCTGAAGTGCTCTTTTAATTCTGCTTGTTCCCGGTTTGCATTTGAAAAAAACAAAATGCAAATCCAGATGCTGTCTATATTGTCCTCTAAATTGTGATTTCTGATTTTCCATCCTATTTTAAGCAAAAAACCTCTGCCTACATAACTCTTACGGATTATTTAGAGCGGTTGCATTTGGGCACATGGAAGGAAAAGGGTTGCAGGGTTTTGGATGCTATTTTGACCAAAAGGTGTAGGTATGAAATTCAGGGCAGACTCAGACTTCCTAATTATTTTAAATTAGAGAGCCCTATTTTAATGAGAACCCTGTTTACTTCAGCATTACCTTACAGTGTTTCACTTTAATATGGAGGTAGGAACATGCTTAAAATAAATCTGTGCTTTTAGTTGTTCTAGAATATAGCAGGGATTGTAGGTAAGAGACTGTGAGTTAGGAACACTGTTCCCATGAGGCTGACCTACTGCAACTCTTCTCTTTTCCCAACAGTCCTGCTTTTTGAGATGGTATATTTACAGAAGCAAATAGAGTTGAAGGACTTGAAGAAGGGTTGGGAGAATATGCTGCCCTTTTGGATTAGTTTGAAATTTTGTTCCTAGGTAGATTTGCTCCTTTTTGTCAATTCCATACCCAATTGAATGGGATAATAAGACTGCAGAACTTTTCAGTCAAAAGACCAGATTCAGATCTTGTTCCTCTAGGTTCACCAGCCCCTGGTTTTTGCCTTTTGAATATTATTTTAAACCACTGTTTAAGGCAAAACTGCATAACATAGCTGTACCCCCATCGTTGCAAATTCCTATTTTCCATTTAGACCCAAAAAAGAAATGATTATCATTGTTGGTGTATATTTAAGGAAACACTTTATGCCAAAAATATCTAGTTGGGTTTCTAGCAGAAGCCTAATATTCAACAGGACATGTTTACCAAAATGCAAGTAAGAAACATGGGGACATAGTAACCTTAAAAAAGAACAATAAAATAAACTCAATAAAAAACTGAAAACCAAACAGAAAAACAAGAACACTTTGAACATATAGTGTGATTCAGATGGAAAGACTTAGTATGAGATGAGGACTCCAACTGAGGAAGATAGATCTGATTTCTCTATTACATTGGGCTGCTGACACTGATGTCCTGTGCTATTTCATTTTTTTTCCTGACCCAATTCTTTTTCCTTGTGGAGGAGTGTTATCTAGTGGTCACAAAATCAGTCACCTGATGTCATTTTCAAAAATGATGGTGCTAAAATATGCATAAGCTTTTCCTCAGTTAACTAAGGAACTTCAAAAGCAAATTATAAGCATTAGGAAGGTGGGGGGGGGGAACCGACCAATTTGCACCCTGTTTCCTTTGATTGCAATCCATCAATCTTTTATGTTCTGCATACAGACTGAACAGATAGGAAGAAAAACACCTTTTCTGATACTTTTGTCTATAGGAAACCATTCTGTTTCCCCATATTTTGTCCTAACTGTAGCTTCTTGTCCACAATAAATCAGGACAATCAAGTGCTGAGACACACTAATTTCTTACAGAACCACCCATAGCATCTTGTTATAGAGTCCAAAGTTTTGCTACAGTCTATGAAGTACAGACTGATCTTTTTCTAAAATTCTTTGATTCATTCCAGCAGCCAACGGATATTTGCAATAGAAGTTCTAGTGCCTTTTCCTTTTTGAAATCAAGCTTGAATGTCAGTTATTTCTTGTGATATGAAACTGATATGAAATCACATCTGAAACTGAGGCACCTTTTAAAGGCACACATACCTGCTGCTTATATGAAAAACCTATAAATTTGCAGGCATGCAAAAGCCCTGGAGTCTGCTGTTGTTGAATCCTGACAGATAATTCAGAAGGAAACTATTATTTAAGTGATGTAGGCATCCGACTTCCATTCATAAACAAAAGCAACATGATTAAAGATACATGACTCATGGCTGTCTAGAATATTTAGGACACATTTACTACAAGAGGCACAACAATGGCTGGGCAAGCCTTAAAGAAAACCATGGATGCTGTCCAAAACACACCTGTAAAGGTCAGAAAGATTAAGTTCCATTGAAAATGTACAAAAGATGTTTCCTGGGTATTCTAGCAGCAAGGATCTTAACACACTGTAACTTTTTTGTTCTTCTTGGTTAGTCCATAAAAAAAAATATCCAATCCACCTATTGTAAATCAACTGTAGAGATGACAAGTAATAGTATACAAGGTTTGAATGAAACAAGTTAATAAAAACTCCCAAAGAAAAATTAATCATTCTGTTAACATTTTTTATAAAATACCTTACAAGAACAGAGAAAGTAACTTGAGGTTACATAATATTCAGAATTGAAAAAGAATGTGGAATAAAATATAAATTGATCACATCACTATGTTTGCCACATTAGACCAGTTTATAAAAGGCATTTTTAGATAAAATAGCTATTTAGAAGATAAACCTTCAAAATGAAAACTATTGCAGTCATTTCAAGAACTCAGTCCTAGAAGCACTATGTTCCAGGTCAACAGGGAGTACCTGATTTAATATACTTGTCCATTTGAAATTTGTCAAGCTTTAAGACACAAATTAAAACATTTACCAGGTCAGTGCAAAGTAAAGCTTCAAGCTGGGAATATGAGAAATAAAAATACAAGAATGTTTCTGGTACAAAATAAATTCACATTATGAAAAATCCTTAGACACACACTTATGATACAAACAAAAATGACATTAGACTAGTGGCTATTTAAAGACACTGGATCAAGCCACTAAAATGGCTGCTCAATTAAGAGATTTGAGTTTTTGTTTCCACTACATATTGTTGGATGTTATCTGCATTATTGATATGTCCCACCATCAGATTCAGCAGCTTTAGAATAAGGTAACATTAAGGGATCCAAGTAGGAGCTGAAAATGCTGAAATTATGAAAGGTCTTGGATAAGTCCCAAGTAGAGAAATAAGATCACAGTTATAACCTGTTAAGTACTCTACCAAATTCTGAAAGAGATTCACTTGGAAAGCGTACAATTTAGCACAATACTATGTGCTTAAAAGGTGTATGGTATTATGAGAAAACTCTCCTGTGGAAATGTAAAGACTTTGTAAAGATAGGTTTCTTCTCATTCATTAAGCTTACTAATTTCTGTGCAATAAACAATTTCATCAAGGAGTGGTTAAATTCACTTTATCCATTCATAAAGATGCCTCATAAAGCATGTGTTTAAACATATTGCACTAGAATATGATGCCTTTACAATGTGTTTTGGTTAAATGAACCCTACCTTGTTAGATCCAAATTAGATGAGGCATAACTAACTTGACACTTTCCAATACAGTATTCTTATACATTCCTTCATCCATTGGAATTAGTCCAAGTATTATTCCAGTAATATAAAGATACTACCATGGGCTTTGTCCTATGTCTGTGCAGTTTAAGAGAGAACTGGTGCTTTTCCTAAAGTCCTGCATGATAATCCAGGAAAAAACATGTTCTCTTCTTCTACTGCAACTGGAAATTTTATTATAAGTGAAAGCCTGAATTATTTTTAACAGGTAACAGAAGTTAACTAACAAAGTAGAACTTTTAACTTAGCAAAATGCTAAAAAATGTTTTATATTGAAAGGACATTCAAAATTAGATTGCTTAAAGATCAAATTCTTAACATTATATTGGTCTGAAACTTTATGAAAAAATAGCCAATTGTGATTGCTTAGAATAAACTGGATTTAGATGAAGGTATGTTATATGACTATTCTTTCATAAGGATCTATATGATCTGAGATGATACAGTTCACTTTCAGAATAAATTCTGTTTTAAAGACCACTGTAAATTGCATTACAGCATCAAATTTGATTCATGTAGTGTTGGGCTGAGATGTTGCTAGATCCCTTCCAAAGAAGGCAGATGGTAGAATCCACAAACTCTGCTGTATCCTTGTTCTGTTCTAATGTCTGGCCTCAAGGAACTGGATTCCTATCTTGTGGGGGTTTCAAAATCAGGTACATTGAAATCTTACACTTTATTTAATGCTGCCTGCACTTTTTAATGTATCTGTGTCCTGTATTTTTTGATTTGCTCTGAACTAGACAGAGAGCGGCAGTAAAGACATATTATTAACAACAACTGAGCAGAAAATCAAGCAGAGGGTGCAATAGTTTTGAATCACCTGGCAAGGCTGCATTCTTCACAAAAGGCTCACAAGCAACATTTGTGGATCACACCTCAAAAGGACAATGAAGAGAGTTCATCTTTTTTTCTTTGTACAGAAAGCAGTCTGTTAATTACAAGTCTAGAATATTAATACGAGTTTGCAAAATAAAAATAAAAATGGGGAGACTTCAATGGCGAGACTTCAGGCCAGGTCAGGGGAATGAAAGCACACTTCATTCTTATTCTAGAGTTCTGTAAGAATAACTTGTGCGAAAAATTGCAGATCTTATGTTTAGCTTGTGCTTTAAAAGGTCACAGTCTAGGATACCAATATGAACTCAAGGCAAAAAAGATGTAAATTATCTCCAATAATACAGATATGGTGCAATCAGTTTATCTGGACACAGAATACCCATTAAAGGTAATAATGTGTATTAACAAGAAGCTTTGGAGAGGGAGAGGGAGAGCTATAGTAGAATTAAGACTCAACAGTGCCAAGATTTAAAGTTCTACTGTTAATATGAATTTGTCCCCAAAGCTGTGGTGAATCACAGAATAATAATTCACACTGGAAGTTAAATATATCCTACTTTCCAGAAGTCAGGAGTATAACTTATCTGACTACTGTGAATATAATTCAAGATGATAAATCTATTTGGCATGCCCAATGATATTCAAGGTATGAACAACATGGGTAGCTTTTTAAAGCTCATAATGGAACAAAGGGCTAATTTTAAACATACACATGTGGATTTTTTTGCTTATATTGTATTATATCATGCAACTTATGAATAATTTAATTATTGAAGCCATCTAGACTTTGAAGCTTGCTGGACACACGTCAAAGAAATGCTGCCCAATGCTGTGGGCAAAATGCCTTTCAAAATAATTAATTACACATTAATTTCCCCTCGAACTAGATAAAAGTATACAAGAAAAAAAATCAGTAGTGAAGGCCACATTTTTCTTGTATTTGCTTGATCCTAAATGCAAAAAAGGTAAAAGCTTCATGAACATAAAAATAAAAATGGAGAGCACATATTAGCAAAAGTAACTGACTTTTGCTCATGGAACCAGTCAGTACAAAAACAGTTGGAAATGCCACATAATACAGAATATGAACAATAACAGAGGATGTCTATCATCTTGAAAATGGTCACTTGCCACCTTGTAAACATGAAGAAAGCATTTCACAGATTAAAAGTTCATGGGAAGTAAACTTCTTTAAATATTTGTCAGTTCAACCCTGATTTAAAAAAGTATGGCTAGCAAAAATACAGAAGAGTCCATTCATTTTTGTCTTAACAAAGCAGTTATCTTATGTTGAAAACCACGGCAACTCAGCTCTTCAAAGATACCTATCCTTCACTCCATTTCACACTTGCACATAATCTCTTGTGTTCATATGTACACACTTGAAGAATAGGCTTGCTGCAAGGTTTTCCATACTGCTATAAGTTGAGACGTGGGGAAATTGATGGCGGAAAGCAGGCAAATTCTTTTAGAATGCTCCTTGCTACATCAAGGTTATTCTGGGCTATTTCAAGTGCTCGTTTAACTTCTTCAAAGGAGTAACCTTCTCCCATAAGTTTTGCAATTTTTGCGTCAACACTTTCTATAGATGTGTCAGAGTTATGTGCTTTCCTATGATGTATTTCTGGAGCAGTCCTGCGAGGAAGTGGTTTAGGAGGTCTGGCTGGTGCTTGTGAACCATCTGTAGAAAAAGATAATCAAAGGAAGAAGTACCATTTGTTAAATATTAAAAGGACCAGATGTTCCTGATTATTTTAAGCACAATGCTTTGTTATAGTATCAGTTAGCTTAGGGTCCAGCCCTATAACCACCAGGTACTAGAGGAATACAGGATAATTCAGATTTCTACTTCCAACCTCGGAGAAGCACTGGGACTCCAAATCTGAAGCACCTTACCTCCGCCCTTGAAAACTGGCAGAGCTGCCCCAGCATCTTAACAAACATTTAAAACCCAAAGCAGCATATTCTTTCTTTTTGGTTTAATGTGAGGGAAGTGTTCATTTTTGTATAGACAAAAACAGAAAGGTTTTGCTTACCTGAACAAGATGGAAGCTGGTCATAGTCCTGGGATGTTCTGTGGGTCTTGAGATTTTCCCCAGTTAATCTTCGAACTGGGGGTAAAGGAACTAATCCATTTACAGGATCAAAGAAAAGTTCTATTGAAAAATTAAAGATATTAATTTTTTTAGATTTCTGTTAATATAATTTTTATACTAAGATGAATGTAAAAGTGAGAGCAGAGCAACAGCAATGATCTAATAAATACAAGTTTGATTCAATGTGCTGTGGGTCTTGCATGCTCCCCAGTTCACATGCAATTTCCTTCTTTCCATGCTTTGCTACCATGACTGAAGCAAGCAGAATATGGTCAGGGATAACAAAATTTCTTCCAAATCATAGTCTGCATTCCTATTTAAAGTCATGGTTTCAAATGAATGTTGGAAAAAAGATGTAGCTGATTTTCACCTCCAATTCTTAAGGTAAAAGGTGTGGTGAAATGAGGTGGAAAAAAGAATCCCCAAAGATTCCTGCCTTCCATTTTCTGTACCAGACTGCAGCTGTCAGTCCTCACCAAAAAGCATGGTTTCAGGTGAAGGATGGCAAAAAGATGCAGGAGATTAAACAATCTCTCACTTTAAAAATGACTCATGAAATCATTCTTTCATGTTACAACGACTGAGAAGGATAGAAGGATGATTTCTCAGTTTGAATGGGAAGCCAGCAGGCTCCTCCTTCTATTTACTATCACATAGCAGCAGACTGCATCAAGGGAAGAGATGGAAGTAGGACTACTCCACTGACTCAGCTGAAGGATCAGAGACTTTTGGCAGCTTCTCTCCTTGAACTATTTCTATTTCAGCTGGTCACTGTAAGAATTTTTGCCAAGTATGCTTTGTCTTGCCTCCCATTCACTTTGTGCCATGTCTTTTAGATACCAAGCCTGTAAGCCTCATGGCTTAGCTTTGTAAACTACTCTGTAAATTACCAAGAAGACTTTTAGGCTAAGAGCAGGGTAAAAGTTCATGCTTAATCCAACAGATAGCTAATATTCCAATATCTGAAAACCATGTTAGGATTTGGCCAAACATCTATTAAATAAAACTATGCTTGCTTTTAACTCTTACCTGCAGGGGGAAGGTAAAGTTCATGCCCAGACAATGGCCTGCTTCCTGCAATAAGTGGCTTTGTTTGCTCAATGAGGCTGTGGCGTGCAGGAGGTGGTGGTGGTGGTGGAGAAGGAGGAGGAAGCGAAGGTGGTGGGTTGTCAGATACATCTTCACCTACATTGACAGAATGCTCATTATATATGCATTTTTTTCATTAAGAGTATAATAAAGAGTGAAGCTTAGCATTGATTTTCTTTTGCTTTTTCAGGCTGCAAAGAGAAGCTCTTACTCCAAAGGTTTATCTAGCAGTTCAGTGACTCCAGTAATGAAACTGTAAGCCTCATTTCTATTATGCACAAACCAACACTTAAAATATGCTGGGAATGACCTTTTAGTATATTCAATCATATTACTCAGAAGTGTTACTCATCTGCACATTTGAAGCTCAGCTTCAATGCTGTGTTTTAGTGAAATACAAATTCATATATCATATTACTGAAGTTGAATTCACACAGGGAATCAAGTGGGCCTACAAACAAATGCATATTTGCATGGCCATGTGAACTGCATTTAGCACATTATCTTGCTACCATGTAATGCTTATTGATAGCTTAAGAGACAGGGACCCAAAGAACAGCACATTCTTTAAAAAATGACAGATTCATGGCCATGTCTTACTGGAGCTATTGCTGACCCATGGCTTTAGTTTCAACCAATTCCACAACTGTTACTCATATTAGCTCTTATATTTTTGTAGTTGCAGTATGATTGTCTAGCTTTGCTCTCTGCAGCATTGTTTTCATCTGCATATACATTACTAAGTTACAGGCTGAGATATTAGGAACTGCATAGGAAAATGCTATGAATAGCAGAATTCTGAGTCTTTCCTTCTAAAAGTAGAGCCAAGCACCATGTGGCAAATTGCTTCCCAAAATTCATAGGGACTTGGGAAAAGGTCCTCAAAGGATCCACCTAACTCTCTGCATGTATCCAAGGGCTATTATAGATCCTAACAATTTGTTCTTATTTTTTCATATGCATGTATTCTAAATTAGCTGGAGTAATTTGCATGAAACATACTGACTAGAAAGTTTTTCTGTGGTATACCAAAATTGTCATAAAATATTTGACAATTTGGATTAAAATGTATCTAATTATGTTTCAGCTAATTATATGTTGATAATTAGTTTTATATGCAAATATATGTATATAAGATATAAACATATGCAAATTGTCAAACAATTGTGGCACTCTAAAATAGAGGAATTGTGATCTAGTAGACAATTTAATGCTATGAATATATCAAAACACATTATCAGTAGTATAAACAAGGAGCTTTATTAACAGAGGATGAAAAATATATAACCTGGAGGATGCACCAGCAGGTCGTAATCAGAGGGAGTCCTGTTGAGTACTGGGCCATGTTTCAAATTTTCCCTCATAGCAGGCCGCACGGGTGGTAAAGGTATTGAGACAGCAGGCTCAAAGGCATCTCCTGAACAACAATTGGAAAGTTTCAAAACATAATCTTAAAAAGTAATTATTTCCCTTAGACATCCTACAAAGCTAAAAAGTCATACCCATCTCTGGATGTTTCAATCGTTTCATCTCAGAGGCAGCATTGTGCAGTTCACTAATTATTCCAGAGCACTGACCATTCTCACATGCACTGAAAACAGGAAAACACAAAAAGGATTTTTTTTTAATAAATCCAAACTAGAAATGACTATCAGTTCATTAAACCATTGAGATTGTAACCATTTAAAAAAAGACTCTGCTTGCTTTCTAAATGGTCTGCTGGGTACAGAAATTACCTATTAAATTAAGACGATCAAGACTAAAACCCCCCCACAAATTTTCTATTTTTGAAAGTATAAGCTTTGTTTTAAAAGGGATTACTTTTAATCTTATCTCCTTTTAAAACCCAATTTTCTAGAACCGATATAGTATCAATGCAACAAACAGAAATAAAGAGGTAGAATTTTCTAGAATTACTAACTGAAAATTCAATCAACCAAAATGTGAAATCTTATTATATTGTTATAACTTTTGTTTCTAAATAGCACAATCTAAAGAAATCTGTTCATTATTAAGTATCAGCAAAATAGAACAATAATCAGCAAAACAGAACAATCCTAACAGATTGAACAATTTAGAACACTTTATAATTGGAATGTGTTGACTGCTTCCAGTTAATACCTGATCTAGCTGTAAAGCAAGAAAAACAAAATAACCCCCTACAATCCGGCAAAATGTAACTCTTGATTCTTGTACCAGACTTTGAGACTTTTCTTACAAATCAAATTTGACCAATTTGACACTTGCAATTTGTTTCATAGTTCAACTAAAAAGAAAGCCTTAATTTGTGATGATCAAAATAAAATCAGGGATCTCTACAGGAAGACAAAACCAATTTCACATATCTGTTTGTCTGCCATATGTCATTTGTCTAGTCAGAAATCATTATCAATTTGTTGCTATCTTATTGCCCAGAAAAGGTTAAGATTCCACTAATAAATAATTAAATCACAATTATTAAACATTAAAGCAGAAACTGGGAATTAAGTTTTCTTATTCATAACTCCCCTCCCCTCCCCCAAAAAGGGGGGGAAAACCACCACAGTAGGTTTTACTCTATAAGGTTTAAACAAACTTAACAACAGCCTGAATAGGGTTAGGATTCAGGGGAGAAATACTGGATCCAATTAAGGCAAATGAAATTATTATATTTAGTGTATGTGAAAGAGTTAATAGCTATAGTCACCTTAAGATGGGGATATGGATCAATAAAAAGATGAAAGAATATTGAAGCCAGATACACAATCATGTGAAATGAGTGCTGCCCCAAATAACCTTACCGAATGTGAGGTTTTATATTATGACAATGTGGCGACTGTGTAATCAAAGAAACAGGGTGGGATGAAGGAATCCTGTACTCATCTTCTTCTACACGTTCCCTTGGCTTTTCAGTGAGGGAATTTATAACAGGAACAGAAGACCTTAAGGGAAAAGTGTATCAAACCTAATAAGTCTTATTTGTTATAGTATAGATCTACTATATATCACATTTATAGATGAAATGGAGTGATCCCATTATATATTTTTGAAAAAATAGCCTATGAGGTAGGTTAGAACTAAGGTATTGAACATCAAACTAAGCTATGATTTAAGAAGACAGCAATGAATTAGCTTTCTCTTGGGGTCCATGCACTTCCATCCCTCTTTACACGGCTGAGAATTCAGGAGCTTTCACATCCACTTTTAATTACAGGTTACCAGTTCATATGACAAATTGATTAAAACATTCCAAATTCCTTCTCATGACTGAGCAGCATGCAAGCACTGTGGTTAGGCTAGTTCACATCTCACTAAACCACAGCTTGCTCCAACATCCTAATGACTAGCGACTAGAAACAGATCATCCATTAGATTTCTTGCCTAAGCAGAGATTTTAATGCAAAACTGGTGCAAATTTAATACACACTGTTGCACCTGCAAGTGATTTGATACATTATATAAAACGAAGGACAGTAGCCAATTGGACACAATCACTAACATCAAATTACATTATGGACTTCTAGTGCAGCATTAATGGCATTAGCTGGTTTGCTAGGATTCTTTGGAAAATCCGTCATTACGAGTACAACTAATCTTATTGGCATGGCATTACACTAGCGAATATAATTTGCGTTAGTGCTAGTGTTTTACTGGATAATGTCTGAGGCCTGAAAAAATGTCAATATGCTTCCTCTTCAATTTATAAAGTTAATAGAAGAAGTTCTTTTGTCAGACTAAGTAAAACTATGGATTTCCTGGGACTTTCCCAGTTAAATGTTATTAACCCTGTGAGAGAGCAGTGAATAAATTTTAACAGATGTCCCACAGAAAAGAAATATAGAAATGGAACTGAAAATATTTTTTTTAAATATGAAGATTAAAATGCAGGTGCAGTAACATTAAAGGACAGAGAGATAACATCTAAAATATGTCAGACAGCCTATAGTATTCATAAGCAGAAGTATTTTATCAACCTCAGGGCTCTAAAATGCATTTAAGAAAGCAATGACAAATATGATGAAATTAATCATAGAAATAACTTTTATTTCAGCATTATATTTACTGCTATTCTCTATGCATCAGAATCCAATAAATTATAGAACTGGTTCCATTGACCCAAAATGGAAGGACTTTTACCTCAGTCCTCAATCTACACAGCAAACTTTAAACCTGGGGGATTTCAGAAGCATTTGTGAAGTGAGTGGGGACACATATTTACACACACAAACTATGTTATTTTAGGAAGCTTCCTAATTACATTTGAATTCAAAGAAATAAAAATGCATTTTAAAGAAGTTTTCAAAATAACCTGTTTACCATGAATAGGCAGAGAGAGTGCAATTTTCCATTTTTGCTATATTTTAAGGAAGAAAAATACATTCCATGCAAACATGAGTAAGGACAGGAACCCTTTATAAAAAAAAATAGTGAATAAACAAATAAACAGTTTGATGTAACATAACTTTTTACTTGATGAGCAGTACAGTGAGGGTAAGAGGGGAACTTGATTCCTTCCCTGTTTCTCACTCAAACCCTAGTCAACCCAAGAATTTATCCAACTCAAGCATTTCCCACAACTTTTGCAGGGTTCCAGACATTTTTGTATTATTACATATAGTTCAGTGCATTATAACTGAAGGTGCTTGCACACATTCAACTGAATTATAAACAAGTTAAAACTTTACAAAATCAAGATGAAGTAGAAATTCAACACAGATAATATAAAAATCTTAAGTTCATAAAAACTCAGTTTGATATTAATTTATTCAATACAATTCCCCAATTTATGAAAAAATGGGAAGCAGAAATCATATTTTACTAAACTCCAATGCAAGATGAGATTTTTGAACATGAATTCAAAAGCTTTCTGCAATGCAATACTGAACCACACTCTGTAGAGGGAGCCAAAATACATAATATAATTGAACAGGTTTTTGCCTCTTGTTTATACCCCAATTAAATATTCATAGTCAATGTGTTAGCAGAATTTTAAATGTAATAGCCTTAACCCAGAAAATCAGAAGCAGAACTTAAAGTGGCATGTGTACTGCTCTGCTCACAGAACCTCCACTTCCAAATTTGTCTAGCCACATTATTGAAGCCTGCCTTATTTTGCTGAAACAAGATTGACTATTGTATCCAAACTTGTAGATTTTGGGGTTTTAAGCTTAATTTAAACCAACATACAACCCAGGTATAACATGTCCTTAGCCAAGGGAAGTTACAAAACCTGGATCAGGTAGTTAACTTTGTTGGACAACTTTTGGGGGAGGGGGTAGTCTGTAGATGTATTACACTTAAGAGCAAGGAAAATGTTTTGTTCTGCAATACAGAATCTTATTTGCTTATATATTTGCTTTGGCTGAGTTCAATTCACTCAGGAACATACATCAGACTAAAATTATCCAAGGCTAACATTGTATCTGAAATGGATTATATGGTTTGATCTACTCTACAGGACTGAGTAAATTATGCATATCACATTTGTATGCCACCCTACATCAGTGTGAATAGCTGTCTATCCCAATGTACAGCACTTAGAGTCAGGGTAGTGTAGTGATTGCAGTGGAATGAAGATCTGGGTTCTAATTCCCACTTGTTCACAAAGCTCACTGGGTAACTTTGGGTTACTCACTGACTCCCAGGGTTGTTGTAAGGGTATTGTTACTCCCTTCCTTCACCTTGGTCCTCCTGCAGTTATTCCAGCAGATTTGACAGCAAGTCCAGCTTGTCTCTCCCTCCTCACCATGACTGTGAATCATTTCTATCTCTCTGTGACTTTTTCCCCTTCACCTTTTTCCTCTGCCCATACAGAGATCTTATCTGCTTTAACAGATGGCTTTCATACTCCGTGCTTTGACAATTCCTTATAAGTGCGCAAGTGCAACCATGGATGGGCTTTCTGTGGTTGTAAAGCTATTGTTTTGCCGTAATGTATGCCAATTTTTGCATACACTTTTAAAAGTACTTCCGAAAGTGCATTCCTACAGAGATCTGCAAATGTGCAGCCATTCCTGGTAAATGTCCAGGGAGATACATGCTAGCAGAATGCAGTAGATACCAACCGTTGGCACTGACCCAGAGAAGCCATACTCCCTCCTTCAGTTCTGTTAGACAGCTGTCAAAAGGTGAATGATTCAAAAGCATGAGTGGCCTATGTTGCACTTTTTCACTTGTTTGCTAGACTGTAGAGACCATGGAAAGGGTGAAACAAGCCCTGGCATAAGCCATGCCATGGTTTAGAATATAAGAAAGTTGTTTGGCAAGATTAGCAAAAACAAATCAAAGCTTGCCCAGGCCATCAGCTAGTGACAGCCACCCCACAGGTGCCCAACCTATCTGTCCTTTTAAAGGAAGTGGTTCACATCTTTGCATAATGTATCTCAAGGTTTAAAATATTTTGATACAGTATTCCTGCATATATTTTGATTCCCCAAATCCAGTCTATACAAATTTTCAAAATATGTAATAAACTTAAGTATTTTCAATAAAAGGAACACAGAAAGGTGTAACAATTGCACTGAAATAATCCATGTTCTTGTAACGGGATGCTGGGAATGCTGTTGGTGAGCAGTCCATTCTGTTACCCAAAAGCCCTCCTGACCTACCACCAACATCTTTGCCACAGAGAACAACATGGTCTGTGACAATTTCTGCTCCTAGGGTGGGGTCAGCATAGACTTGATGGGAGACATTTCCCTCTTCAAACCATTCTTGCTTATTATGAGTGTACTGGCCAAGATGCACAAAGACAGGACTACCTGAATCCTCATTGCTCCATGGTGGACTCAGCAGGCATGGTTTGTACACCTTCTCATCCAGGATGTTTCTCTGCCTTCTGTCGAAACCAATAATCATCTCATGGAATTGAGGAATCTTCCATCCTGACATCAATATCCTGCACCTCATGGCATGGAAGACTGTTCAGTAAACTGGGCCACAGCTTTCTGAGTGGACATACAAGCAATCCTCGATGCAGCACAGAGACTGTCCACAAGGAGGTCATATGCAGGAGATCATATGCAGCGGAGGTCATATGCAGCGTTCACATTTCCCCAGCAGGGATCCTTTGACACTCACCAGACATCTTAATCCTTGACTTTCTGCTTATTCTTCATTGCATGGGTCTGAAACCATCTTCTACCAAGGTCTACCTGACAGTGATCTCCTTGTTTCATCCACTGGTCCAAGGTCTATTGGTTTTCTTGCATCCACTGCTATGTCAGTTCCTCAAAAGACTTTGAAACAGCATACCACAGGTCCAGCCTCTTGTTCCAGGCTAGAGCTTCTCAGTCGTTCTACACACACTTACAAATGGTTCTTCAAACCACTAGCCACCAAAGACTTCAGACTTCTATCCCAGAAGGTAGCCTTCTTTGTGGCCACCATATCAGTCAGAAGGGCCAGCAAATTCTGTTTACTATCCATCAACAAACCTTATCTCATCTTTCACAGGAACAAGATGGTCTTGCATCCAGATCCCTCATTTCTTCCTAGGGTGACTTCACTATTTCACCTTAACCAGATCATTCATCTGGTAACTTTCCTCACCATGCTATTGAACCCAATGGAACCCACATTGCATGCACTGGACATAAGCTTGCCTTCTATTGGGTTTGAATCAAGCCCTTTCACTGTTCCCACAGACTTTTCATTTGCTATGGCGAGAGATCCAGAAGCAAACCTATCAGCCCTCAATGGCTCAAACACTGGATGACCTTGCCTACCAGTTCACAGGACTGCAACTCCCTGAATGGCCCAGAGCCCACTCTACTAGGTTGATGGTCACTTCAACAGCAATTCATGTTGGCATCCCCTTGCAAGATCTCTCAGAGGTGGTGATATGGTCTACCCCAACAATACTAATCCAGCATTACTGACTCAATGTTCATAACAGACAAGACTGCTCCTTTAGTAGGGTGGTCCTTTCTGCAGTCGTCCACTGAGGACAGCTCCCCACCTCCAACTTGAATGTAAGCTTAGTAATTATCCATATGTGTGTTGCACAGAGATCACAAAGAAAAAAGTCAGGTTACTTAACTATAACTGTCATTCTTCAAGTGGTCATCTGTACATTCACACAACCCACCCTCTGACCCCACTTTATTGCAAATCAGCTTCAATATATTCAACTCATCAATCCCATAGTCCATGGATTCAAAGTTGGCCATTCACTGGCCTCCCCTTGGTTCTGAAGCCACAATGTCAGTCTCAATTGAACTGAGGAAGTGAGTGGGAACCCATCCTGGATATACCAGGAAGTGAGAGGGAGGAATTACTGCCAAAACAAGTCTAGCTAGGAAATCTTCCCAACAAGAAGCCCTGTGCAGGTGCAGAGTCTGCATGTGTGAATGCAGAGATGACCACTTGAAGAATAACTGTTACAGGTAAGCAACCTGACTTTATCAGGCTGCTATCTCAGCTATGCCCTGCCCTGGACAGGAATAGCTTGGCCATTTACCCATGGAATGATAAGCACATGTTTAGATGACTGTAATGTGCTACCCTTGTGGTTGGTCCATGAGATGCAGTTGGTGATGAATACAGTAATAAAGATGGTGGATTAAGTGCCCAGCAATGTACATATTACACAGTGTTAAAGCAACTGCACTGCTACCTGTTATCTACCAAGTCAAGTCCCTGTTTGTATATAAAGCCCTGAAAACTTAGGACCAAGTTACCTTGCATATCTTGTACTGCAAGCTGTATATTGCAGATTTGTAGCAAACAGAAAGTAGGCCTTTTCCATGGTAGCACCCAATCTAAGGAATAATCTCTCCTCTGATATTAAGAAGGAACCTATTGTATCATGCTTTTGGTGTCAATTAAAGAGCCATTCCCTTACCTAGTCTTTCCCTGAATGAATGTGCTGCCCAGTCACTCTGGCCAGGATTACCCATTTATGCAAGTAAATGAAAGCCATTCTCCAGTTCCTTATTTTGGGTTAGGGGGATTGGGAAAGTTGCCATGCTAAAAAACTGGAGGAGGTAGTCTAACCCTACCAAAGACCACTGGGATAGAAGGTTTCCCAGAGGGGAATGGAGTTTTTCTCTCTCCCAGTTTTTCAGCAGGGCAGCTTTCCTGTATGGAAATGCTTGGGGGGAAAAAATCACTTGATCCACTTTATTATGGAAGAAATGTTATGTGTGTTTTCTCTCTGAGTCTGTAAACACGCTTAAAATGATAGTAAATTTGAAAGTGGCACTCCCCTTAATTCTGTTAGGAATCAAATTAGTATTCACATAGTCTATCAGAGAATCTTTTAAAAATTCTTACTTTCTCCCCAGCCTTTAATGTTAGTACTACCATACCATACTTCATATCATACTTCAACTGCCCTTCAACACTTTTAAGTGGACAGCAATGCAACTCTGTGTAAAAGAGTAAAGGGTAATTTTTAAGCCTCTAGAGGAGTGGGCAAGTTCCCAAGCTTTACAAACAAGGAAGCAGTGCAATCCTTGAACTGGCCAAGCATGGAGAAGCTTCCTGATCTGAATTAGCTGCAATCTGAATGTTTAACCATACAGTGAAAATGACTACTTTCTTCCATGGACTTGGATTTAAAAAGCAACAAAAGCGGAAAAATAGTACTGACACCTTTTGCCCACCTGTTCCATAGACTCTTCTACTTGCCAATTATCTGTCTGTCTGTCTGTCTGTCTATCCAACAAACCCTTCTACACCCAATAAAGCAGCCCAACACTTTGTAAGTATACTGGAAGATTTACATTTTATATTCTGAGTTTAAGAAGAACTTCTCAAGGAAATGACATTGGAGAAATTAGCATCTGAGCCAAATAGTTTCAGCCACATCACTAATTCAGGCATTCTCACTAGGAATTCTGTCATCACTACTTCATTAGTCTTAAAAGTAACATATTTACAACAGTATGAATGGATTATGTAACAAGGTTATTTAAATGTATATAAGAAGTATGCCATCTATTCTGAAGGAACATAATTCATAAGGGTAATTCCTGCCAATTTTAAAATAAAACACCTCTAATTCCATGCTTAATTCACTTAGGATGTAATCTAGTGCCCATTGCACTAGATACATGGATCTAGTGCAATGGAGAGCAACATGGTAGTGGTGTTTTCCACCATACCTTGAGTTTTATCTAGAAAGTCAATTTTGTGACAACTGGATGCAGCACTGTTGTGGAGAGGAGGCTGGGATGCTGTTAGATATGGTGTAAGCTCTAATTTCCTCCTGTTGCTGGTCCCTGATGTAACCCACTTGCAAATTTGGACAGGTAGTTAGCACAGTTCTTTCCTCAGGACCTCAGGCAGCCATAATATTATGGTCTTAGCTTATCATAGCCTGGAGGCTGCTAACTCTTTAAAGCCTTACTTTACATTTCCAAAAGAAAGAAAGAAAGAAAGAAAGAAAGAAAGAAAGAAAGAAAGAAAGAAAAGAAACGCATCCACATGCAAAACAGTTATTCTCATACTGATGTGGAAACATTTGGGAATTTGAAAATTGCTGTAGGCATTACCACAAAACACCTAACCAGTGGAATGCTATAATGTCTAATCCCATGTCTATGGATCTTAGGCTGTATGTTAACAAGCCAAAAAAAGTATCCTATCTATTTTATATCATATCTATTGGACACTATAACTTATCTTTAATAAGATATAGTCTAATTCAACTAATTGCTGGCATGGCAATACAGCTAATGAGTCTTTGGACATATGTTTTTTGCAATGTTCAGTAGTTGCATCCTTTTAGGAGATACTTATTTCACAGATATACGTTGTACTTGAATGGGCTGTAATACTGATGTAGCCAGTCTTATGAATTATTGACTTGTTTCATTTCAATTAGGCTTGTGTTTTCTTAAAAAAATAGTCATGCTTCTGTAACTCTGGATATTTGCAGTTGTGCAAGTGAGGGAATTTGAAAGCTCAACTGGGGCAATGCCCTGGTGGGCACCTGATGCCAAGGACATTAATCCAAATCAGTTTTGCTTTGCTTTGCTTTCTGTTGACCTCCATAAAAAAGCAATCTCTCAAGAGAAAACAAAGGCATAGGTGATCTTTGCTTGTAAAAGAGTGATGGCATTTACACTACTCTTGTGGTAAGATACTCCATTTCTTTTTCCCTGTCAGTCATTTCCCTGAACATGTTGCACTTTTTCCTAACACTCTAGATGTTCAAGAAAGTGCAAAGTGTTTTTTCTGAGAAAAGGAGTTTTGACACCTAGTTGAGGACTTTTGATAGGGAAACTTAAAGTTTTGGACTGTTTGGACTGTGTTGGACCATGGATAACAATCCCAAACAAGAGATGGATTTTTAGGCATTCATGAAAAATAAGCTACCCTGCAGAAACCATGCTGGGCTTGGACAACACAACCCATCATGTCTGATCACCCTTGGTAGATTGTCATTTCATGCTGACCATACTGATTATAAACAGAAGCTGCCATGCTTGAACTGCACAGCAAGCCTAGCTTTTATGAGAACAAAAAACATATCAAATACACAAAGGAAAAGGTCATTTTTGCAAATATCAAACCTGATAAGCTGACACTGATTAGAACATTGCTATGCTATCTGTAAAGTCAGTCAATGTATAGGAACCCAGCAAATGAAGATCATATGTAAATACAGTATAAGCTATTTTTGTTCTACATCTCAGTATAGAAGCTTGGTAAAAGGACTGCCATGATACTCAAATCTATACTAGCATAAAAAATATTCCACATGTAAACATTTACTGCATATCGCCAGTATAAATTCAAAACAAGTATTAATAATACCCAGGCCACATCAGGGCAGTAGGAAATCCAGATAAAAACTGTGTCCAGCAGAAGACAGAAAAAGAATACTAATGAGCCTAAGAAAACACTTCTTTCAAATGCATAATAATGAAGTGTTTTCTTGGACTCATTGGTATGCATTTACCCAAAGTTCTCTTTTGCTTTTGCCTAACAGCTGAGTGTGGGTTGTGTTTTACCTATAAAATTAAAGAAAACAGTGCAAGCTCCATCTTCAGTTACAAAAAGCAAACCATAAGACCCACCCAATGGGGTCTAGAACAGGGCTTTCTTTGTCCTAGCAAGAGTACCTCCTTGAGAGCTATTTCAACAGGTTATATAAAAAAGTGTTACTTTGCTCATTCCTTCAATACTGATTGATGGGGAAATGGAAGAATGGAGAGTTCCAAGAGTTGTTTTTGAACTTAAGAGAATCTTCTGAATAGGCAAAGTTCACATTCTTACATGCTAATTCTGGTTGTACAGCAGTGTGCATGCACAACTAAATACATTTTTCTCTAGAACTTCACCAGAGAAAGAAAGATGCTCATATATAACCATGAATTTCTAGTCAAGAGAATTTGGTGAGACTACAGCATGGTATTTCACAGTAAGAATTTACCTAAACTTCTTATGTTAGCACATCCCACAGTCAATGTGGTATTGTAGTTTTTGAAAGAAACTTGTTTAAAGTTAGTGAAACTAATCGAGATAATTATGTTTTTATTCATACTTTGTATAATCAACATTTTAAAATTAAACTTACTTCATATTTGGCACAATTGAGGCAACTGGAAGAGGGGGTGAGAGTCGAGGGGGAACATCATATTCTTCATTACCTAGATGGCCATTTGAAAATATCTGAAAGAGATGGATTTCTCAGTAATCTTATTTGGTTATAATCTGCAAGTAAACATGTTAACTGAATTCCTTTGACAAATTTTGTATCTTCCTCTGGAATGCTCTGCATACATTCCCAACATATGCAAAAGTGCTCCTCTTCTAATTCTGATGCACTGTGTATGAAGTATGTACAATTGTAAATAACATCTATAAACATGTTTACAGATTTATCAATATTTATATGTATAATACAAAAGACATCTCAAAACCGTAAAATGGTGAAATAGAAAGCATTAGTAACAGTAAGCCATGATAAGAATAATTTGTAGTAAGAATTTATTTTCTTTAGAATTACCTTTTCCTTTTGACCCATTTTGACTAAACTTCAAATTAATTTTAACTTGTGCTATAAATGATAAGAGGTAGTGCCCCCATTTTTTACAGCATTGAAGAAATAATTAAAAAATGCACTTGGTTGTTGATACTATTAAATAAAATTAAGCTTCATGTATCATATTACTAATTCCTTACCTTGGCACCTTCTATAGGCAAATCGTGGCGTCTATGTTTTCGCAGAAACACAGGATCAGAACCCATGCAACAATGCCTTCCATTCATATTTGAACTTGCAGCGAGTCCAGGTTTGGGAGAAACATCACCACCTAATATTCGACATCCTACTATTTGGCTAGTTCCACACACTTCTCTGGGGCACCAGGCTTCAAGTGGAACAGGCTGGTCTCTGGAAGGCACACTTTCAGGATGATGCAAGTGTCTACTTAACCTACTATCTGGTGGAATGGGAGGAGGCCTATCTGGTGGAGGCGGAGGAGGATCTCGAATAGGAGGTGGTGGTGCAGGAAGAGGCTTGTCTTGCTTCCTCATCATACATGGAGAAGACTAGGGAATGCAAAGCAATATTAATTACATGTCACAAATAAGGCTGCATTATACATGGGCTTACTTTCAAAAAAAGTAATCAAGTTTTTAAAGCACTGGGGATTCAATCTCTAACTACAATGTTTTACAGATTATACCATCTACAAAGCAACTGTACCCCTGTCATTACAAGTAAAATGGTACTAATAATTAATGGCCGGAAGAGGAAATAGAAAACATCTCTTTCCTTTCTGGGCCCAACATATGTTTCTGCATCTTTAGCATTTATTGCCCAAAAGAATAAAATATTTGTATATTTACCTTCACAAATCACACAGTACTGAGCTTTTGTTAAAATCATCAGCATCAGAGCATAAAAATTACATTAAAATATTATGTGACTCAAACTAAGAAATAATATTTAAAAATAATACCGCCTCATCAAAAAAGTCATGTGGGATATAAAACCATTTGTTATTAATTTCTAAGAGAAACAACAGTTCATCTATTTTCTAAGTATAGCACATCATGTTTATCATCTCAAATTAATGTCTGTGCTCATTGTTGTGACAAGAAATGCTGACCCTTCAATGCCAGTTTAAATGAGAGAGCTAATTAAAATTATGAAAGCAATAAGGAAACATTTTACATATTTTGTTTCTTATGCAACTAAAATTAAAATTAATTTGTAAATAGAACTGCCAAGTCTGAAAACAAGCACTGATAAAGTAAATTGTGTGTTATCACTAGGCATTAACATACATACAGAAACAGACTCATTAACTGAGTTTTCAAAGTATGCTTTAACATTCAATTAAAAATCTAATTTTACTGGGTGTGCTAATTACAAGACAATAGTGCTCATGCATCAGGAAGAATGGTTTTCCTTGACTACTTGCTTTATGTTGACTGTTATTTCTATCTGAAAGTAAGCATATTTGTGAAATAATACTTTCACTGATTAAAGACATTAATAGTTTACTACAGGTACAAATTATAACTATAGCTTCCCTTTTAAAAAATAATAAATATGGCCCTAAATCTCTTTCCCCTTGTCACAACGTCTGCATTTTCCTACATGTTTGAATACCTTAAAAATTACAATAGGTATCTTCTGAAGGCAGTGTAATTTATATGAAATTAAAATAATGAAATTTCCTAGTATTTTTCCTTGCTGTTTATTTTTGCAAATTAAAATTAAAAGTAGCAACTTCATTAGTATGTGCGCGCACACGTGCGCACATGTGCATACACACACACACACACACGGCATATAAAGACTGCATTGCTTAAAACTGGCTGGGATAAGGCATGGTAATAGAATAGCACAGAAAAGGCAAATACTAATTAGAATGGAGAGAGTCATTGGGGAACACATATCAAAATATATCCCAGGAATGGCCAAACTGACGCTTGCAAACTGCATGTAGCTCTTTCAGTTTATTCAGGTGGCTTGCCACTTGCCACTTGCTGCTGTCACCCATGGGCACCCTTTGTAGCTTTCAAGCAGCTGACATTTACTGTACGTGGCTCTTCCATTCAGCAAGTTGGCCACCCCTGTTATATCCTAATGTCCATCTGAATGTATATTCTGAAATATGTTTATTGTTATAATAATTGAAGATTTAACTATAGCTGTGAGGAGAACCCCAAGTTTACAGTAAAATTGACTCTCATCCTAGCCCTTCATGCAACTCACACAGAGAAACGGTGGTCCTATAAAACAGGAGAATTGAAGGAAAGAAAATAGGCCTCTGAAAAAAAAGCAGTATTTTATCAGTGGCCTTCTGAGTTATCAGTTTTGTATAGGCATGGATGTATTGAAATGGAGGCTGAACAGTCCAGAGTTACAATGCAATATAACAATTTCTTTGCCAAATGCATACAAATGTGCAATGCCTTGACACAGGAGCACTCTTTAATTCTTGTTCTTGCAAATGCATAGAATGTTGGACTGAAGGGAGGGCATGAAATGTGGAGAATAAGGGAGGACAACTTGGTTGGCTGATGGCTAATAAAATGAGAAAAACAGAGAAGGCAAATGAGAGGAGAAGGTGGTCTTGGGCAGCTCGTAAAAAAGTCAAGGGGACAGAAGTGCAATAAAGAATCCAAATACAAAAGTAGAGCACAGTAAGATCAACTTTCAACACTAGCACACCAGTAACACTAAACAACAATGCCAGAACCAACAAAAAAGGAAACAATTACTACTGGCTTAATGACAATAATGTACTTGAATGTTTATGTGTCACTTCTATTTGATCTGCATTGTTATCTTTTAAAAATGTAATTATGTGTTGAAAACAAAAAGTTGTCAGCAAAATTATAGCTAATCGTCCTCTGCTTGTCCTTTTTATAGAACATGGTGCATTGAATCACTATTCTGACTCCAGTCCATTGTGCTGTGATGCAGTTTGATTTTATGGTAGCATTTTCAGAGATTACCTAAGCGGAGCTTAAAAAGTCCTTGGTGCGCCCATGGGCATCACACAGGCAAACACTTTAGAGCTCTCCAATTTTCTTGGAAGATGAACTTAAAATATAATCAAAATGCTTGATTAAATAGGATTTACCTTTGGTGAACTAGTAGGGCTGGCACATGGGGAGCGAGCAACTCCCTTCTGAATTAGATCTAGTCGAGGAGGCACTGGAGGGAGGTTAAGATGGGACCCTTGTAGGGGATCAGGAAGTGGCTTTCTCCTTTGAGCAAGTGGAGAAGATCCTGGAGATGTCACAGGGGAATTCTGTCTTTCATTACACTGCAAGGTGAAGCATTCATAAGGGTTACAAGATATTTTCATTGATTAATGAGACAGTGTATGTGAATCTTATTAACTAGGCACCCTTCAAGAACTACGTTAGCTCTTTGATACTGTGTGCACACAATTTATCATGAAAAATAGAAAATCATTACTTTTACACCTAAAATGTATCAGGAAAGCAGTGCAAAGAAAAGGAAAGCAAAAATCCAAATGTAGGAATGTGGAGAAATTAATTTACTTAACTTTTTAATATGAACTCATCTAATTCACATTTCTCAAATTAGCTTTCAACTGAAACACAATTATCCTCTGCTTTTTACAGTTATTCAAATATTGCAGTTAAGATTTCTCAATAAAATATGTGCACATGAGGAAAGAAGCGTAGATTCATGAAGATAGTATAGGGAAATACGTATATTAGGGAAAGGTGCTTGAAAATGCATATATTAGTGGGAAATTGTATCTATTAATTGGAAATGCACGCACACTTTAAAAAACCAGAATTTAAAACAGATAGATTTCTCCATCCTTGGTTAAGTTAGAAGAGTAACAGTTTTGTAAAATAATTAAGGAAAAAATAATTACAATTTACTACTATACCAGAGCGAAAGCATTTAGTGCATCAAAATTAAACAAATTCATTTGCCTGCAGCAACCACTGAAATAGGGTAGTAAGTTCTACTTATTTCAATGAATTTTTTATTCCTTTTAAGTATGCTGAAGATTTTAGCCTTAATAGTATTCAATGTATTTTTAGGGTAGTATCACACAGTTCAGTATAACTTTGCTCATACTAGTTGTGCTAGTTCTGGGTTATATTTAGTGTTAAGTTTACAGAAAAATTACAAGAAACTTCTATTCTGCTAGCTATGGCAAACAATTCTTAGTCCAATAAAATTCTAATGAGTTAGCAATGCCTTGTAGAATGGCTGTGGTATTGTTTGCCCTACTGTATACAAACCTATACTTTCACAAATACTGTGTCCAAATGAAAGAAATGCCAAGAGGCATGGAAAAATGTCTTTCAAGGAAAAGCCGGAGGAACTGTTTACCTGTGATGCTGAGAAACAGTTGTGATGGCTTTCCACAGGTGATTTATTGATTCCTGTAAGCTAAATATTTTTAAAATTCAAAAATGGTTTGTTGTCATCACTCTAGGATCTTGTCTACTACCTAAAGTGTCTTTTATTCTGCAAACAGCTGGCATGAGCACTGGACTTTGTGTTCAGGCTCCTGATGCTACCATGCTAACTACCTTGTTTTTATTGTAATGGAAGTTTACAATCTGTGTGTCCTCTGCACCTTAAGAGAATCACTAAGAGCTACCCTTATGCTAGTATGCAAACAATGGCCTTTGTATTGCTACCACAATCAAACAAGTAACTTAAATGAACTAGTCTAGTATTTTGACTGGAAATATGGGGTTAAAATCAGTAATATTCTAAGCTGTCCCATTCATTTTAGTCTAAATAGATACAACTCAGTACAATCTAATACAGAAGTTTTACTCTCTTAAGATAGCTCAGCAGGTTGAGATACCACACAGAATCCATCAAGGTCAATAGCATTCTGAGAATTCTCACTAATGGGTTCTTCAGAAGATTGGCCTTTGTTATATTTAACTCCCTAGCTCAAATTTAGTGAAGAATCCAGGAACCTCTAAAAGACTACTGTTCATTCTAGAAGTGAAGTTACAGATTCTTTTGCTTAATTTCAAGCTATTTATGTGCAAATACGTTTCTTTCTGCTCTTTGTCTGAATTTTTTTTGAGAATGGTTATATTATCACCATTAATTTCATTTCTATACTGCCATATAGCTGAAGTTATACTGGGGCTTGATACACACATACACACTCAGTTACATGGCTTTGCTTAGAAAGCTGCCCACTCCCTGTGATCTACTCCTATGTACTAGAAATACCCCTGAGGTTTAGCTCATGTTTCCAGGAGGCCTTGTGCTTCCCTCTTCACTTGTACCTATGTGCCTTCTATTCCACATAGATTCACTATCTTATATACTGATACAGAGGTATATACCCTGTGAAGCATCCATTGCTACATTAAGGAAACAGTCTCTTCAGTGGTATCTTCCAGCCCACATTGCCAAATTTCAGGGACCACCAAAGGCCTCTGTACTGCAGGTGTCCACAACATTGGATCCGTATCACTCACAGTGGAAAGTAAATGGTGGGGCCATAGCAGTGCCATTTTAAACTTTCTAGTTTACCATCTGAAAGCATTTTGCCAATGTTTTGTGAGACCAACACACACCATGTCTTGCTGACTTAATTGGTTTTTGTTATTTTCCTAAGGAATTTTTCTCCCTTTCATCCCATACATGAACATGGATACAATCAAAGAAAAGAAGTAGCAATAAATTAATGATAGAAAATGGAAAGTAGTTTTCACAAAACAAAGACTTTTTTTAGACTGACCCTTGATTCCCCCCTACCCCCGCTGAAGATTGACCATGGTAACTGTATGGCATAGTACTTGGCACCAGGTGAAGAAACAACAGGGTAAGCAGATACGTCTACGTCGTGCCTGTGGAAGTACCTTGCTGCCTACTGTTAGAAACATGTTTATGTTTAGAAACACTGTTATTTTTAGATGGTGCCAAATATTGAAAATAATATCCAAAAGATCAGGGTGAGAAATCAAACTTGATTACAACTAATGAATTTACAGTGATTTTACTCTTAACTACAGTTTTACCATTCTGCAAAAATGAACTACTTGAGCACCAACGTTTAACACAAATCATTATTAACTGTGGATATAGTTAAAAGACTCCTCTGACACCTGCAAACTTCTTTTTAAATAGCGTATTTGAGAAAAATCATATACCTTTCGTACAGAAGCCAATCGATTCATCATTAAAGATTCTTCTCTGTCATCATCATCATCCAAGTCAAGCATGGGTATACTAAAACTATCCATAATGCTGCAGCATCTTGTGTTTTCATCTCTGGGGTCAAATGGGTCTACAATTATTGGTTCAGTCCCTTTGATTTCACAGCGGCAGAAAGGACATCCCTGACCATCAGACTCCTGTATATGTGAAAAAAACAAACCATTTGCAGAGCACAATGTTTTTGTTTGTATATTCTTCTGCATAAAAGGTACTCAGGATAAGGAAAGTGGGTTAACAGAATTTTACAAGACAAACATTTTCATTATTTCTAAAATAAAATAAAATAAAATAAGAAATAGTAAGAAAACCAATTGAATACTTAATTTATTAAAAATGGTATTGTGGTTATTTTGCCTTTCAGGCTTGCCTTTCTATGCTAGTTTAGCTGTAACTCTGAACTTATACGTCTTACTGATGTCTCATGGCATTGTGAATAAATATACCAATAGGAACCTTTACTATTTACTAAAAATCCAAGAAAGGTCAAGAGTATTTCATATTAATGGATTTCCACAAAATCTCTAAGCAATTAAAAGCACAAAATCTAATAGCTTTCAAAAGGTCATATTCATTTACCTTGCACATATACATCATTGGCATTATGCTAGCTAAAATGTTGAAGAGAATAAACAAAATTTACCCAATCTTTGTTTCATTATTTTTTATATTTAAGTTTAGAGTTTAATTTTACATTTACAGAACACAACTGAGTCAATTTAAGACTGAAAGAACAAGAGTAGTAATTAATGTCACTCTTTTGTCAGTGGTGGGCAAGCTTTCTGGGATATTCCGAAGGAAGACAGGAGGCTGCACACGTGCATGCTCATACACAAATATAATCCTTGCCAGTTTCAGTATTTTCCAATCAAGAATACAAAACACAGCCAAATTTGTATACATGCCTATTGGGAACCCCAGTGGAATGGGGACCAGACATGCACAGGACAGTTCAGTAATTCTGTACTCAGAAGTAGGCATCAGGATCCCAAGGAGAGGTGGTCTCCTTCAGTGGTAAGTTTAGAAACTGTTCTAATCTTGAGATCTTCTGAACTGACTGGGAATAACAATAATTTATTGGCATTTAAAGTTTAAACCCTCTGGTAAAGATTAGGTTATTTAAACTTTACATGACTTTTAATTGTTCTCATTTCCAGTTGCTGTTCCCAGCACTCTTCACGGTGGTGTTTTTCCTGAAGCCTAGCTTATCTGCTATTCTTCAGAGTACAGTCGGCAAGAACTGCACACCCTGCAACTATGTACCACTGCATTATGGAATGTATCAGAATCTAATGTTTAGGATAAGAAAAATATACAAAGAATTAATTATTCTACAAACTAGCACAGACCTTAAATTACTGTTGCTGCCATTTGCTGGGGTCTGACTTTGCCTGTGGAACTTCTGACTGGTCTTCTTATAGATTTCAACAAAGTGCCAGTTCACTCCGAGTTGCAACAACCTTTGGAGCTAGGACATAGAAAGCATGCCACTACTGTTCTGGGTCACTTTCAATCACAACTGGCAAGAAGAGGAAGCTCTACAAAGGTGCACGGCAAGTTGTCATCTAGTGCTGCTCCTGCTGCTGCTGCCTTGCTGGTGTCTGACCTCACCTGTGCAACTAACTAACTGGCCTCCTTGCAGACTCAGGTTCAGCAAAGTGTTACCCTACTCCCACCTACAATATTTGGGAAAATGGAACTAGGCCCCAGTAGAGGTACCACTAAAGGAGCAACATCAAAGCAGGCTGCCCTTTTTAGGAAGTCACTTTCAGGTGCTACGAGGGTAAGGGCTGCTCTCCCTGAAAGCTCTCTCTCTGTTACGAGGGTGAGGGATGCTTCCTCTGAAGTCTGGCCTGCACGACTGCCTTCTAGAGGCACCATGAATGGATAACTGCAGTATTTAACATTAAAAATATGTCTCTCAAAGAAACAGAAAGAAGTTGGGAGTTAGGAACAGCTATTATAGAGGGCAGGGGCAGATATAGGGGGAGGGGTCAGCAACCCCATAATGTACAATATTAAGGTGTAGACTGTCCCTATATTGTCCCATAATCAATTAATATGAATGGCTCTGGCAAGAAAACCCCAGATTGAAACTGCTGCTGATAAATGCCAGATCAGTGAGTAATAAAGCAACTGCAATGCAGGACTTGATCCTGGATGAACATGCTGATCTGGCCTGCATCACAAAGACCTGCTTGGATGCAGCTGTGCTTGGTAGGAGAGGGGAGGGGGACTCTCACAGCTATACCCGCCAGGATTCTGTCCAGCAGCAGGCAAGACCAGGGGGCTGGGGAATTGATGTGGCATGGTCTATCAGAATTCTGTCCTCTGTCCAGCTGCCCCATCTGCCATGACCACCACAGGTCTGTCCCAATGGTATCTGGCTCTGCCCGTATTGCTGGATCTTGTTTTCTCTACTGGATGGGGTGATAGTGACCTGAGTGTGAAGGAGCTGTCTGTTGCCATGGGCAGATCACTATCTGGTAGCGTTTAGACTTACTGGTGCTCAGAACTTCTGCAGGATCCACCCTAGCTGATGGATGCAAATGGTTTCCTCAGAGGCTTTGGGGATTTTTTTTTGTTGCCTTGGCTGGAGACTTTGTCAAAGTCCTAGTCGATCTCTGGAATGAAGAAATGACCAGGGCAGTAGACACAATAGTGCCTGCGTGCATTCTCACATGGACTAGAGACACTTGATTACTCTGGTTTTCTAGAGAGTTGGTGGCAATGAAACAAGTGAGACAGCAGTTAGAGAGATGCTAGCTGAAAACGTGGAATGAACATGACTGAATACAGACTAGAGCCTATTTGAAGGCCTACTCTGTGGTGATATGAGCAGCACAGAAGAGATTCTTTGCAGTGGTATTGAGATAATGCATCTTTTATACACTAATATGGCAGGAGGACTCTATAATGTGAAACAGGCTTCCTGGCTCCTCTGTGTGGAGAAAAGGTTAAGACTTCAACATTTAAGTGTTATAATTTCTGGTGACAACTCAGCAGACATCTGGAAGATGGAGATGAAAAGTTACTCCCTTTGTGATGTACTTGTGGGAGTTATCAGAATCATGGACTCAAGGATGCCAGAGATGGCAGAGCTAAATTACTCATGACTGGCAGCTGGAGCAAATGTGTGACCTCAAAGGATTGGGAGATAGGAGAATGGAACAGCATTTTGTTCCTTTTTGGGGGCTTTATTCTTCTGCCTACTATTCATGCTGAAGAATCCTGGGATGTCTTGCATGCTACAACCCTGCGGATGGTAGATATTTTGTTAGAGGGAGGTCAGCTACAGGGAGCATACATCTTCTTTTGTTGAAACAGTGAGCTGCCTTGAGTTCATTAGGAACAGGTGGGATATAAATACAAGAACAACTTTGTCTAGTATATACAACTAAAGTTCAGCCTTATGGTCATCCTACATAATAATTATTATTACTAATATAATGTATTTATATCCTGTCTTATTTCCTCTTGTGAGAAACTCAGTATACTTCAGTATACTGCCATACTTCCATTTTGCTCTCACAACAAAACGACTGAGAGCTTAGGCTGAGAGTGAACGACTGCTCCAAAATTACCCAGTAGTTTCATGGCCAATTGAGGACTAGTGCCCAGATTTCCCAGGTGCCTAGTTCAACACTCTACCATACCACATTAGTGCAGTAAACCGTAAAACCATGATGAGGAGGAAGATGAAACAAGCTTCTCAGGAATAGTTTGTCTGGTGATCCAGGAATAAGGAAGAAAAAAGAAGACGGACAGCAGCAACCACTACTCTGGGTAGTGATGGATAGCAGCAGTGGCTGTTATTTGCCACCAATACTACCCAGCAATACAGATGGTTAGTTTATTGCTGAATGACAAGAGCAGTGATGATAAAAAACAGTAATAAATGCTCTTTTGGATTGGTGTCCTGGGCCCAAGGACACCAATCCAATCATCTTGCCCTACATTCCTTTTGTGAAAAAAAAGCACATTTGCTGAGATTTGTATTGTTTGATTCCAACCCTGAGACTTCAAGAATTACCATTTCTTTCTTCTCTTTGTATGTTTGGTAAGAACTACTGAATAACCTATTGGTAACTGTGAGAATGTAACTTTTCATCTCCATCTTCAAAATTTCTGATGCAAGTGCAGCATATTGACTGCAATCCCTCATTCAGTCATAATAGCAGCCAACAACTGCAAGAGAGATAAATGGGAGGGGAAAGGATATCATTAGGTTTTCTCATTTCATCCTGTTAATGACTTGGGCCAATTTCTATTTAGATGTGTATGTGTAGCTTAAAATCTGAGAAGTAATATTTTAAAGCAAGTTATTTGCAGGTTTAGCACTCAAGTTATTTTGCCCCACTTGAAGCTATTACAGAACCATTAGTCTTCTGATCCTCTAATATAATTGCACATGTACATAAATACCTTTGTTCATGTAAATAGACTTTTCCCAGTGTTGGTGAACTGGTCATATGACAGAGCATTCAACTTTATATAACCTTGTTGGCTAAGAAGTTGGGACAGAACTATACCCTAGAATTTTTACAAATTAGATACATATTTATTTATATTTCTACTACATATATAGCCTAGCTTACTTCCTCTTGTAGAGAATCCAGCCAATTTAGACAGCCATCCTTGACTTAGAAGCCGCAAGTAAAGACAGACTGTGTAACACGTAAGAAGCATGCAGCAAGAACTATGAAAAATCCTAATTAAATCCGCAATAGGGCAATTAGGATAAATGAGGTTGTCAAAATTAGTACTTTTGGGTTCTCCCAGCTAACTATTTGGTGACATTTTGCTTGATCTTGCTAAAAATGATAATGCTCTACTGTGGATTCTAATTTATTTTTAAATGGGTGAACAACTAACCCTGAACAGATCCCATGAAAGCCCTCATTTTTACTGCTAATTCAACTTGAATATTGATGAACAGAAGAAGTTTCTTGATTTTTAACAAAAGTTCAGTGGGGAAACTTTCTGATCACTTATTGAGAAGAAATCCAAGCAGTTTCTCACAGATTTTCATGAAGCTGCTTTGATAACAAGCATCAGGAGCTTCTCTCCTGCTGTTTCTGTGCTTATTCAATCTGCTGTCCAGATTCAATGAAACTCACTCTTGTGCCATCCAATAATGGAAGAGTGCTTGGAAAAGAGGCAGGATTTCTTTCCCCCTTCCAACAACTTGATCTGAGCTTTAACTTGAATAAGAAAGAAAAACTATCAAACAAGGAAGCAGTTTCTCCTGTTGTGTTTAAAAAAGTTACCTCCATGCACACAGGTCAAGACACTACTTTTCTTTGGGAAAGAAGTCTTCCATCACAGAATATTTTAAACCCAGTTGGAAAGAGTCATGCACTTGTCTTTTTTGCTGCCTTTGTACCATAACACAAATAAGATAAATCTTTACCTCTTTTGGCAGCAATCTACACTTGCCAGAAGAATTGGTGGTGAGGAAAATTAAACCAAGTAGTATTTGTGGATCACTACTCAGTATCTACAAATTTCTCAATTTAAAAGAGTCCAGCAAACAACTGATTAAAAGTAAAAACAGTCAATAAATTCTCTTTGAAAGGATAAATTGTAGTTCTTAGAAGACTGAGCAACAATGTCCTAACTGGGGCAAACCCATGAAGAGTTGTAGGAGTTTTTTAAGAACAGCTGTGTGGTTTTAAAAAGTTTTAAGAGATTTGACTTTCAGAACTGCATGATTTAAAATAACTTTTAAATGTTAATCAAAATCTTAGGGATTATCATTTAAGAAAATATAATTTATTAATCCTTTATTCTCAAGAATCAACACACGCTCCCATATCCTAACCGCAAGCTAATAGTCTTCCTCCTTATATTTACATATCACAGCTAGCCACAAGAAATGTTAAATTGTCTAAATGTAAATTATAGATCTTTAGCTGAACTTGGTTAAAGAAGACAATAAACAAAGTTTCTTCTGTACAGGTGTATTTAAATACTGACTGGCTTTGATCGTCAGCCTAAAGCTATGGCTATCATCAACCCTACAACAGCCCTAAACTCAGGAGTGTTCTCTCTGACCTTGCACTTAATTCTGGAGGCATAGGGAATATTTCTGAAACCAAAAGACAAGTTAGACAAACCTCAACATGCAATTCACTTTGTCCGGACAGCGAGCATGAACTACACTAGCAAATTGTAGATTTCTGTTCCAGGCCTTTAAATGAGGAATGATTGTATACAAATGCATATAAAAATACATACACATATAAACTTATGGTACAACATTACATGTATGCACAATTCGTCATATACACCTATTTAAATGACAAAGAACTCACTACTTTAAAGAATAAAAGGTAAAGGTTTCCCTATGACATTAAATTCCCTATGACTTCCTGACCGTCAGGACCCCGAGGGTGTGGAATGGGCTTCTACGAGAGGTCGTTGAGGCCCCATCGGTGTGGGTGTTCAAGGATAGGCTGGACGTTCACATGTTGGGCATGTCGTGAGCGGAGCCAGCTGGTGCCGGAGGTCAGACTAGATGGCCTGGGAGGCCCCTTCTGACTCGCGCTGTTTTCTATGTTTCTAAAGTCCAGTCATATGTTTGTCTGTAAGGGGTGGTGCTCATCTCCGTTTCCTAGCCGAAGGAGCCAGAGTTTGTCTGCAGACAGTTTCTGTGGTCATGTGGCCAGCACGACTGAACACCAAAGTGGTGTTATCTTTCCACTGAAGTGGTGCCTTTTATCTACTTGCATTTGTATGCTTTTGAACTGCAAGGCTGGCAGGAGCTGGGACAAGGCATGGGAGCTCACCCCTTGGGAGCTCACCCCTTCTGCAGATTTGAACTGTTGACCTTTCAATCAACCAGCCCAGCAGCTCAGCAGTTTAACCCACTGCGCCACAGCATCCAACACTTTAAAGAATAGCCTCCTCTTATTTACCTTACACATTACCCAAAGTTGGTTTCTTCTACTAAAGAAAATGTTACAGAGCATTGTCCTTCAGAACAAAATATCTTCAGTACATGTTTTACATTCATTCATGTTTTAGAGTAACTTATTTTATTAAGAATCACAGATACTTCACAGTTAGGAGAAAAAGGACTAGAAATCTCTCCTTAGGCATGTCTAATGAGCCTTTATGACAGCAATTAAGCACTAACCATGGGCAAGTAGCAACTGACACTTCCACAGTACGTTCCCTTCATTAACTCATTAATTATACAGAAGTTAAATCTGTAATGAAGTTTGGCTAAACAGGATAATGAAAGAAAAATCACAACACTTCATTTTTCATTAAAGATTAACTTGCTAAAGGTTACACTATACTGGGACACATAGAAGGGCATACAGATCCCATGCCCAAAACCAAACCCAAACCCTAACCCAACACATATGATGACAAAATATGCACTTTTACTTCATGATTTTTTAAAAACTGCTCCACCAAATAATGTAGTTGGTTGTGCATTCCTCATTAGACCCCTGGGGTGGGGGGTTGCTTCAGTCCCACTATTCTATAGCCTTTGTCAGAATACAAATTATTTAATCCTTCTGATTCTGCTAGACAATCAGAAGACTAGAACTTACAAAGTATGCTAAAAACAGAATCTAAAATTTATTCACACTATATCAATGCTCATCTTCACCTGGGCTTTTTTTTGCTAGCTCAGCTTCTTTTAACTAAATTCCTAGAGTACTGACCACTTATTTGGATAGACTCAACCACTACAGCAGCCTTGTGCTTTCCAGACACATTTGGACTGCAACATTCAGAATTCCTAGTCAATGGCCCTCTTGGGAATTCTGGGAGTTGTGGTCCAAATGCCTCTGAAGGCCACCAGGTTGGGGAAGACTGCACTACAGTATAACTCTTTATTCAACAGCATATGCCCAATAAATAAGTTTTTCATTCACTGCCTGCTACACACCCTCCTTTGCTTCCAACAAACACGTCATACCTCCTTTGAGTCATATTATTGAGTAACCATTACCAAGCATCTGACCATTGACCATTTGGCTTCTTGTTTAATCTTGCATGAAATATCAGCCTAAGGAATTCTGCATTAATCTTTTAATAAGGGAAAGCTATGTGAAAGTGGAAATGAAAATATCTCTGGAATTGATAGTGCTGAAACGCTCATAAAATTATCAATGGAAAACAACAGCAACAAACAATTAGGGGGAAAATCTTGTAGCTTACTGAACAGCTGGAACAACCTATATACATATTTAGTTAAAGAATAAGAAGACAACTTACCTGCCATGCTGTGAGGCAAGACGTGCACATCAGATGCCCACAAGGCTCAATCTTCACATCTTTGTCATTCTCTGCACAAATTTTACAAAGCTGGAATGTGGAACCCATTTCACAGTACAATTCATATTGTTCCTGAAAATAAAACTATTGCATTTTAGTGGCTCTCCAGAATGATATTTTAATAAAGTTTAAGAACTATTTCACTTCAAGTGATGTTGTTTTTTTAAATAACCAATACAATATTAAGAAAATCTATTTCTGAAAAATTCGTATGATAAAATATAAAACATACTTAATACCATTTTTAAAAATCTTAACTGCTCTTCTAGAAGCAATTCCATTTATATACTTTATTTAGCTAATGTCCTCTCTGTCCTGTCCCCGTCTCACACACCACACACACATATTATAACCAGAGTTTTATTGAGAGCTCAAACCCTAATACATTACTCTCAATCTGACTGGGTCAACTCATAATGGCCATGGTGTCTGAACCAAGAGCACTTCCTGCAAAGTGACCTATCTGGGGGCAAAAAGCCACACCAACTTGTGGTTTGTTCTAGAAATTGTTGAACCGATTACAGACTGTCATGCTGTCTAAACATGGGATTCTGATTTCAGGCTGAGTTGCTCAAATTAATTTTTTCTTCTTCATGATTTCACCTTAACCTTTGCCAGTGATATCCCTTCCATAGTGAAGCCCAAGGAGCACTTTGGATTAACCATCTTGCGTTCACCATTCTTTTTACTTATTCATAATGTGTTTGCTTTGATTTCATTTTTTAGAGTTTCAAAGGGGTGGAATTAGATTTTTTTTAAGTTTCAGCCACAGAAAATTGCACAACTGTCTTCATTATTTTGTTGCTTTCATAGATGTATAAATGTGTACTTGATCTTCCCAATATATGTAGTCCTGCCTTTTTAGTGCCCTTGCAAGTTTCACCTTTCAAAGGGAAGCGGAATAGGTAAAAGATTGATAAGACAAGACCACATATAAGGTAATTTGGGCAGAGAACTGCAATACTCACAGCAGTTAGTGCTCTAAAAATGAGACTCAAAAAGGGTGGAGAAAGTTAATGTCAGATAAAAAGGGAGAATAAAGGACTACAAGGCATTCAAAGATTAATGCAGCTAAGCAGGCAAACCTATGGAAAGCCACACACCCTGAGGAAGAAACTTGGTAGCCTTGAGAACTTGGTAACTCTTGAGAAGGGTTAACTCTCCTAGATAGTGTCAGTTAATTATTAGATGGTTTCAGTATTGAGAAAACTACTCTTTTTCATGATATTACTAGAGAACTAACCAAAACTTATGAGAACCCACATTATAGAAAGCTAGTCTGGAACTTCTGTCTCTTCTTACTGTAAGAGGATAGTGTCTGTAACCTGAAGCAATGTTTACTTGTATGTAGTTTACATAATAAACTTATTAGAAATACAACATGACAGCATGACTGCAAAGCAAGTCAAAGGCTGGGCACAGAACACACACAATCCTATGCATGCATTTTCGAAGAAAAAAACATCCTATGAACTATAGAGTACTCTTGGCTGCAAGGACTTTTTCTGTCTAATACAGATAGCTTTTAATCACTGTTAATGAAAGTGATAATTAACTGTTAATGGTGTATTAAAACATGTCAACAATCTAGAGTGAAAAAAAGAACTCCCAAGCAATCTGGGGCAAAATCCAATGCTGTTGTACCACTTATACAATTGACCTTAGACTGCTGTAAACTATCTGTAGTAGTACAAAAATCAGGTAAGCCGGCACAATGGGGTTTCCAGGAAAATTAAACTTCAGAGCAACAAAAGTAGGGCACTTTCATGTTAAATCTTTATAATTTGAGAAGGATATGAAAAGTTCAGGCTCCTTCAAGAAAATAACTTCTACTTCTTTCTCTCTGGACTGTAACTGCACTTTAGTTTGACGTATCTGCACTCTGGTTTATATTTTAGTTTTCTTTTACAAAATCTTGCCTTTCTTCAAGGTCAATATGCCCTCACACCCCTTAAGATTGGTGGGGGAGGCCATGGTCCGGGAACCCTCCTTGAAGGAAGTGTGGAGGGTGTCTACCAGGAGGACAGCCTTCTTCGCGGTAGTGCCCAGACTATGGAATGCGCTCCCCAGAGAGGTCCGCTTGGTGCTGATGTTATACTCCTTCCAGACCTTTTTATTTAAGCATCATTTTAACAATCAAGGGTTTTAGACATTTTAAGATTTTTTGTTTTCTTTTTGTTTCACAGTCACACTATTTTGTTTTTCCTTTTTTATTTTTTAGTTTATATTCAATTTTTTCAATTTCAGATGTTTTAATGTAGTATTATTATTGAACTTCAGAATTTCATATTATGTAAGCAGTCCTGAGGGCTTGTGCGGAAGGATGGGATATAAATGCTTGTAATGAATGAATGAATAAATAAATAAATACATTCTTCTTCCTGAATTTCCTAACTTTACACCATGAAAAACACAAATCAGAGGTGGTTTAAGAAGTTATAGACTTTTAATATATCCAGTATTTTTTTCACTTGCAGAAGGGAAAATATAAAAATAAAAATAGCACATCACACTGCGGGAAGTAAAGGATCACCTGGATTTTTCATACAGTATGTTCAAGAAATTTTATCAGTTTTTCCCATTCTAAATGTTAGCCATTTATAATGAATACTTTAAAAACGTTGTACTTCCTATTAGGCTGTGAAACCAGAACGAGTATTAATCAAATGATTATATGCAGCACTTAACAATTAATAATGGCTGCTTTCACAGAAAATTATTAGTATGTTTGTTGTAAGCTTTAATGGGGAAATGTACATAATATTCTAAATACTTTGAGGTCCTTAAACTTTTTCAGATTTTTCTACTGAACTGAATACCTGCTCCCTTTATCTTGATACCACTTCAAACAGCTGTTGGTTCAATGAAAATCTTGTTCAAAATTCAGACTTTCAGTCTATGATTTACTGTTGTACTCGTTAATGCTTTCACTAGAAGTTGATAATATGCAGCATACCTGTGTAACTTTTATATGGTCATGTGGAGTAGGTTCACATAATCCTGTAAGATCAGGATTATAACTTCTTCCATCTGGATACAAATAGCTGATTTGCAAAATAATGAATAAGAATACTGTTTACCATTTTAATTTGCACCTAACATTAATACATTTTAAAGTATAAAATACAAATGCCAAAAACTTTTGCAAGCAAACTGAGATTATGACTTTCCAACTCATTCTCAGTGTAGCATCCAAATCCTGCGAGGTACTGGTTCACATGTATTAAGCACAAATTCAGTTGACTAAACAAACATATCAGCTGTGAAAAACATTTTACCACTAAGGTTTTCAAAAATGTTAAACACATGTGAGTTCTGTAGATCTTTTCTCCTCTCAGCCAAATCATGTCTTTCCATCCAGTTTTGCCTATTCTTCACTGCAAAACCCCTATTTTTCTTTGACACATTAAGTTCTGTACTTGCTACTAGCTGTATTTTACTTTCCTTTTTCATTTCGTTTGTTACTAAGTTCCAGTTTATCTAATTTGGGAGTACAAGAAAAATGCTCATGATTTCATGCTTTATGTGAAAACCAAACATACTTTATTTGAAGAAGTGCAAATAAAAAGCAAGGAATCATCCATTGCAAAGTAAAATTGGACAGAGCTACAATCTAAGTTGCATCCTATGTATCACAGAATCAGGGTTTCCATTTTTAAGCACTTATACTTACAATCCTTCCCGGCTTCCATCAATCAGAGCCTGAAATAAGGGTTTATTGTGAGGTATGGTCTGTAAAATATTTCCATCACCAGTGACATATCCAATGGCCCACTGCCCTAGTCGAGTGCAACTTAGTCTGAAAATGTAACTGTAAGGCAAAGGAATAACTGTTAGCAAAGGAAAAGGAGCTTCCATCCTGCAAAATGGGATAACTTGCAACCTCCAGATCATATTCTGTACTGTAATTTACACATAAATCAATTATGAGTTCTACTAGTCTTTTTAGGATACTACCTAGTCTAAAACTTATCTAAATTTCAGCCTCCTGCCTTTTTTCCATATAAACAAAAACCTGCAAAAGTACCCCAGAATCTCAACAGGAATAAATATATGGAACACTATATATACCTCTCAAAATAGGTCTCAAACAATGGGAAAAAAGAAGGTTCAATAACACTATCTCGGTTTTTTTTTTTAAGTTAATTATTTAATCAATTATTGTTTCATTCCGTGGATGGATTAAAATCCTCTACTTTTACAGTGCATACCACCTTTGCCAGTGGGTTAAAAGCAAAGTAATCTAGTCATACAATGTGGGCTATATAACGGAGATAAAAATGCAAAGTACTAACTGAATTTAGCAGTATACCAGAGAAAAATATTAAGTGATACTACTCTGTAAATGTAGTAACTACATCTTTTTTTAAGTGATACCAAGTTGTATTTGATTTATGGTGACCCTATCAATGAATGCCCTTCGAAAGGTCCCATCTTTCACATCCCTACTCAGTTCTGAAAGCAGAAGTTTCCTTTTTGGAATCTATCCATCTCATAGTTGGTCCTCTTCCTCTTTTTCTTTCCATAGCATTATTGTCTTCTCCAATGAGTTTTGCCTTCTCATGATGTGCTTGAAGTATAACAAGCTCAGTTTCATGATTTCTGCTTTTAGAACAAGTTCTCCTTTGATTTATCTAATACCAATGTGTTAGTCTTTCTGTCAGTCCAGGGTATTTACAGAATTCTCATCCAGCAATGTATTTTGAAAGCATCTATTTTCTTCCTGTAGACTTTTTCACTGTCCTAGTTTAAACACCCACACATGGTGATGGGCCATACATTATTGTGCATGGTCTTGGTCTTGGCCACCATTCAAATGCACATGATGATCTTTTCTAGTTCCTTTTCTAATTTTCTATTCCTTCCAAACTTCAGCCTTCTTCTAATTTCTTGGCTGCAATCTCCATTTGAATTGATAACTTGAGCCAAGCTTTGCAAAATTTTTCATTTTTTCGGTTTTTTCACTGTTAAATTTAACATTGTCTAATTCTTCTAGGGTTATGACTTTTGTTTTCCTGGTGTTCAGCAGCAGCCCTGCATTCTTCTTTTACTTTCATAAGGAATCATTCACTTGCTGCTTCTAACAGTATCATTTCCATATATTAAATTTTATATGTATCTTTGCCAAGTTTCACTCGTCCTACTACTGATCTCAAGTCAGCTTTTCTAATGATAGCTTTAGCATACAAACTGAAGAGACAGGGAGATAAAAACATCCCCTTCTGATGGATTTTCATATTGAAAACTATTCTGTTCTCCATATTCTGTCCTTATAGCACTTCTTGTCCATAAACTGGGCAAGTGCTGAGGCACACCCATTTCTTTTCTCTTGATACCAAGACTATAAAGGCTATAAAGCATAGACCATTCTTCTTCTGAAATTCTTTGTTGCACTCTAGTCATACAATCATAGAATACTAGATATGGAAGCGGCCATGAAGGTCATTGGGTTCAACCCCCTGCTGTTGCAGGACACCAATTTACACCATCCCACTCAGATGGTAATCCAGTTTCTTTTTGACTTGATTATTCTGTGTCCTACACTCTGGTATCAGCAAGCAGAGAACATGACTTTCTTCTTTGTGACAGCCTTTGAGGTACTTATGGAGGGATATCATGTCCTCCCTCAGTCTTCTCTTCTCAAGGCTGAACATGCCCAGTCTCTCCTCTGTTTCCAAACCCTGGATCATTTTTGTTGCCTTTCTCTGGACTCTTTCTGATTTTTCTGCATCTTTCTTAAATCTTGGTGCCCAGAATTGACATAGTATTCCAGAAAGGGTTTGACTGGTGAGGAATATAGGGGAATTACTACCATTTGTGATTTGGAAGTAATACTTCTGTTAATGCATCCCAAAATAGCATTTGCCCTTTTGTTAGCTCATATTTAGCCTGTCATCCACAATTGCTCTGAGATCTTTTTCTTTTTCAGTTCTGTTGAGCCACTTATTTCCCATCTTTTATCTATGAAATTGGTTTCTTTTTCCTAGGACTTGGCATTTCTCCTTTCTGTTGCTTTCAGCCCAGTGTTCAAGTTTATCAAGGTCACCCTGGATCTTCATTCTGTCTTCTAGGGTGCTTGCTATTTCACCCAGTTTTGTATTGTCAGCAATTTGATTATCTTTCATTGTACTTCCTCATCTAAATCATTAATAGAGATGTTGAAGAGCACTGGGCTCAGGACTGAACCCTGTGGCACCTCACTAGTTACCTCCATCCAGTTTGAGAAGGTGCCTTTGATGGGACTCTTTGTGTCCAATTTTGCAGCCAATTTTGGATCCACCTACCATGTAGTTCTTTCAGTGGGTTTCTCACACATTTCTTCCTCAAGAATGAGAGTTCCACTGCTTCCACTGATGCAGAGTGTCTTCTAGGTCTTCTGTGCCTAGCTGTCATCCTGTTCCAGGCAGTTTCCTCATTTTCCCTTCCCTCAGGGTTCTCTTCTTCGCCTCAGCTTGCTGATGCTCCTTCTTGCTTCTGGATTACACCTAGCTGTTGCAGTTCCTCCTTTCTATCTAGGAACTCTTCATTTTTTTTATTATCCTGAGTGTGGGCACTTGCTGCTCCAGGGCTCTTTCTTTTTCTTCTAACAGGGCTACTAGCTTGCAACTGTTGCATGTGTAGGACATGTTGTTCTCAGGTAAGAAAGCAAACAATGTACAGTTGTTGTAGCCCACCACCACTGCGGAATCTACTTAGTGATTCTGGCTTGTGGGGGAGGCTGTTGTGACAACTGGTGCTTTTTCCTGTCTTCACTAAAAGTTAGCAACAGAGGTCAACATATATTCATGATTTGATCTCAACTGCCTCTTCCTTTTCAGAATTCAGCTTGAACATCAGGCATTTCTTGATCCATATAAGGTAGTTCATAGTCAGTCCTGCAATCTGTTCCTGTTTTTGATTTAGCAGTGAATACAGCATCTCTATTTCCTGCTTCTAATTAATCTATTTGATTTCTATATTGGCAATCTGGTGACATCCATGTATACAGTGATTTGATCAGCTAGCTGAACAGATGGTTGGCTTCACAGAATTCTATGAATTATTTCCTTGCTTCATTTCTGAACCCTATGTCAAATTCTCCTGCAACACAGACTTTCTGCTTTGTTTCCTACTTTTGCATTTTATTCACCCTTGATTATCAGTATGACTTGTTTTGGTGTACCAATAATTTCATCTTGGACACTTGCATGATTTTTTTCTTTTTGTTTATGTTTTCTAACATCTGTTCTTGTAGGATGGACCAGAATGACTGTTGTGTTGATAGGTTTTCTGAGACTTCTGATAGGCATTGGTTGCATTATAGTCCCTTGTGCTACATTTTGCCTCAGTGTTAGAGCTACTCCGTAACTTCAGAGTTCATTTTCAGAATAAAACACTTCGCGTTTGACTGAAACTGTTCCATTCCAGTCCACTTTAGTTTCCTCATACCAAGTACTGCAAAGTTTAATGGTTCAATTTCTTGCTTTACAGTTTACATGTTGCTTTGATTCATATTTCTCATGTTCCATGTGTCAAATGTATGTGTTGTGCAGCATCAGGCATTCCTTTTGCTTCTGTGACTGTCAGTCACTAGACTTCTTTTCCACTTTTGTTCTATTTGCACTTGTCCTTAGGACTTCCTCAGTAGCTGGTTGAGTGTCTTCTAAGCTGGGATTCTCATCTTACAGAACTGTCTTTTGCTCAGTTTGTATTGTTTCTTTATATGGTATACAAAGTAAGAAATATTAAGAAATGGTTTACCATGGCCTTTTCCTGAGCAGTACTAAACAATTTAGTTTGAGTATCACTCCTACTGTCTGTGAAAGAAACTCTACCAGAGTTACTTTCAGCTAACCCAACCCTAATCCCCATACCCCTCTTTTTTACCAAAAAAAAAATGGTTTTAGCACTTAGGGTTTTGAAAAAAACCCTGATTAGCTGGCAGCAGCACATCTAGAACGCTTCAACATGAAAGAAGAGCTCAAGCCTTACTAAACTTCACTATCATGTCCTCAGTATATCTAAATTAAAACAAAAATAAAAGAACTAAAAACAGATTCAGGTAAGTTAATGCTGTCAGGGTTGCAATTCTTCCAACATGGACAAGTAATTCACAACCTATTAACACTGGCATTAACAAATTGAAACAACAAGTTTAACTGCACACTCAGGTTATGCTGTTTCTAATGAAGTATTAGGTGAAATGTGTTACCTTCCTGGTTTGGTGCTGTATTTCTGTAACCGTGCTTTAACTTCATCATAAGTTAGAAATGCCATATATCCAGGATGTGTCACAGCTAAGAAGTTCCAGTTTCTCAAAATTGAACCCCAAGGCTAAATGCAAAATGAAAACATAAATATTTGTACTGATATTTTTTCCTCTTTCTCCAAAGCTCCTGGGGGTATATATTGCCACGCCCTTCCCACAACCATGAAGGTCAGGGTTAGTTTGCAATACAGGACTGATTAGGATACAATTATCCCAGCTTAATAAGTCATGGTTTAGTTGGGAATGAGCAGTGGGCCTTTGGCCATTCTGTCACAGTTATTTCAGACCCCAGTTTCCCATTGCTCCCAGAAGTGAAGACCAGGTGTAAAGAAACCACAACCATGCATTAAGAGCAGCAAATAAAAAGAAGGAAGCACAAGTTCTGGATGAACAGGCCATGGTTTATTAAGCCAAATTGGTATGTATAAACCCTATAATGACTTGTCCAAGGTCAAGGCAATTCTGAATTTGAGGTTAGGTCTTCCCAAACCTATGCCCAATGTGACAGCTAGTCAGTATAATACAGCTGCTTTCAATGGAACATATATGTAATACATTTAAAGTCTACAGAATTATTAATATAGCTACCTTAAAGTACATGAGTATCTTATATAAATGTTCAATCCCTGCAGCACGAAATTTACAATATACATTTCAACAAGGAATAAGCCTAGGTTCTCAGCAAGTGAAAAACATGTCTCTTAATACATTAATTTAAATTCAAAGCAACCCCCCCTTTTTAACATATAACAGTATTACTGATAGTATTACAGAGTCAAGTATGTCATTTATCACAGCAGTTATGCATGGGTAATAATTTAAACATGGCAATTACTACAATCAGTGTTTGTAGATACCAAGTTCAAGATTTAAATAGATCCTATCTCATATTCTCATACCCAGATGCTTAATGTGCCAAAGTCTGCAAGCTACCCTTAGGCAGACAAGCATGTACTGTATTCCATCCTTATCTTTCCCTTCTCTTATTATAGATTAGAAAAGAAAATATGAATATCTTGGTTCTAAGCATACAAATCAAATCGAATATATAAAAAAGTAAGACCAAAGTTTGTTCGTTTGTTTGTTTGTTTGTTTGTTCGTTCGTTCGTTCGTTCATTCATTCATTCATTCATAGAAAGCTCCTGCTGTGAACCAGCCAACAGGAATAAAAGCTGAGAAGATAACTTGGATTCACCTTAACAGTTTTTTAGCTGACATTTTCTGAACAAGACTTGTGAAAGGTCAGAATATCTGTGACTATTAGTTCAAATATCAGAAACCCCTTTCAGCATAATTTAGACCCAGTCACAGACAGTGAGACTTCAAGAAAATGGTCAGTTCCACAAAACTAAGTTTGCAAACACTTTATTATTAATAAAGAAGGTCAAACAATATAAACTTTGAACCACTATTACTGAACATTTAAGTAGGGTTTAAGTAAATATACCTAGATATAAATTACACTGAAAGACAGCATTCAACATTACATTGATCTGAATATTTTACCTGAAACAATCTTGTGAAGATATCAAATTCAAAAACTGATATGTAGTCATTGCAAGTTAAATCAATGGTAGACTTCAAAGCCATTGCTTCCAAACCAGAACTAATTTGATGTACTTCATGAAGACATTGCCGGAACACTTTCCAAGGCACTATGGTTCTGCAGTAAGGAAATGAAAATAATGGATCATATAAAATACTGTCAGTTTCTAGACATCTGCAAGAATAATTACAGATTTATTTTTCAAATAAATGACGTTGTTAAATTAAACTGATCTTGTTCTGCTTCAATGGACAGGTCTGCTTGTCACATCAACCCATTGTGGCAGTAAGCCATGTTTGGTTGGTTGCATTCTGAACAGCCCACAGTAAGCCAGATAGACAACTGGACTCACCTTGAGCTGTTTGTTTCCACCCTCTTGGTTCTACCAAACAGGAGGCCTGAATTGTCTCCTACCTTCTTGCTGTGGCTGCAAGTTGATTTCAGCTTGCTGCAACTTGTTTGCAGATTAATTTGTTTTTTGGAGATCATTAAATACATAATTCTTATTTTGACAGCTGCTTATATTTGCCCAAAAGAGGGATTTTTGCACCCTGTTCACACAATGAACCTCATCAATTTTCCCATATACCCAGCTACACAAACCAGTAAGCACTCATGTTCTAATGAAAATGCCCTTCTTAAAAGGGCGTAGAAAACAAAAATGTGTGGATGCTTTTTTTAATTATTTTTTGGGTGGGGGAGGCATATTTCAAAGTACCTAGGAGTTTGAAACAAACTGCAAAAAAACACCAGGTTGGGGACAACATGGGATAAGGAATAAAAGTGAAGATGTTTCTGCAAAGGTGATATAAGTTCCCCTAACAATTTTTTCAGCTAAGATCACTTGTGTCATTGGGTTCTTTTAACAATTCAACTTCTGCAACTGTGAAGAGAAACCAAAGGAGGGAACATTTGGAGACATTTCTGAGCAATGACCCACTGGTTCCATTCTAGGTTGTTTCATCATGTGAACTAAGTTTTGATATGATATAAATATTATATAGAAATGTTGACACATTCAGTAACATAGCAACCCATTATTATACGCTGACAACCATTCCCCTATTTTATCAATGTTCAAGTCAATTTTGCATGCAAACATATATGAACTCTCTTATATTCTTAAATATGAATTACAACTTTGAAACTGCCATGCTTGTTTAATATTGCATTTGGAATTGGCTTCCATTCATTATTACTAATTAACTTATGAAAACTTTTGAAATGAAAAAAAAATTAAAAAATTAAAAACCTAGAGCATAGGTTTTTAATCCCAGGATGAATATGACCGGGCACATCTTACAGCCATTATCAAGCCTATGCTGTGGTGGTGAGGGCGGCAAAGAAAGAATTCTTCTCCGCCTCCATTGCATTCTCACAGTGCCATCCAGCTGAATTTTTTTGGGTGATGCATGGCCTATTACATTCTGGCCCTAAAAAGGATCTTATTGCACCATCAGTAGCTCACTGTGATGACTTTGCCCAGCACTTTAAGGAAAAAACTGATCAGATTTGGCAAAAGCTGGACTCCACAGTTGATAAAGTTCCAGAACGGGGAGCCTCTAGAAAGCCATCTGGTCCACTTTTATTGGATGAGTTTCAATTGTTGAGGCCTGAGGATGTGGACAAGGTGCTTGGATTGGTCCAAACCACAACCTGTTTACTCGACCTTTGCCCGTGGCTGCTTATGAAAACCAAAAATGGGATAAGTACCTGGGTCTGGAAGGTCATCAATGTTTCTCTGAGAAGGGGTGGGTCCCCGCCCCTTTGAAGGAGGCAGTTATCAGGCCTGTCCTGAAAAAGGCATCTTTCAATCCAGTTGGCCACCAATTATAGCTCAGTGGCCAACATCCTGTTTTTGGACAAGGTGTTCTAGTGGCTGGTGGTGGGACAACTCCACGCACTCTTGGAGGAAACTGACTATCTAGATCCGTTTCAGTCTGGATTCAGACCCATCTATGGAACTGAAACTGTCTTGGTCACCCTGTATGATGAACTGTGCAGGGAGAAGAACAGGGGGAGAGCAACCCTGTTGGTTCTCCTGGACCTCTCAGCAGCTTTTGTTACCATTGACCATGGTGTACATCTGGATAGGCTGGATGGTTGGGAGTTCGTGGCACTGCTTTGCAGTGGTTCCACTCCTACCTGTCTGGCCGATTCCAGAAGGTGGTGCTGGGGCAACTTTGCCATGGAGTTTTGCAGGGTTCCACTTTATCCCCCATGCTTTTTAACATCTACATGAAACTGCTGAGAGTGGACATCTGGAGGTTTGGTCAGTGGAGTGATCAGTATGCTGATGACACCCAGCTCTACCTCTCTTTTACATCTAGTCCAGGTGAGCCAGTGCCTGAGTGAGGTAATGGGCTGGATGAGGGCCAATAAACTGAGCCTTACTACAGACAAGATAGAGGTCCTGTTGGTGGGCAGTTCAGCCCTCCAGGCAAGTGATTTCAGCCCTGTCCTAGATGGGGTTGCATTCCACCTAAAGCTTCCCAGTTTGGGAGTGCTCCTTGACCCAGAACTGTCCCTGGAGTCTCAGGTGGCAGTAGTGGCAAGGAGTGCTTTCCTTCAGCTTTGGCTGATCCACCACATGTGTCCTTACCTGGATGAGTACTGCCTTGCAAAAGTGACCCACACTATGGTAACTTCCTGGTTGGATTACTGTAATGTGTTCTTCGTGGGGCTGCCCTTGAAGATGGTCTGGATAATTCAATTCAGAATAGAGCTACCAGGATGTTAACGGGGATGGGCAGGTATTCACATATAGTGCCAGTCCTCTATTAGTTACGCTGGCTGCCAATTGTAGTCTGGGCCCAATTTAAGGTTTTGCTGATCACCTAAAAAGCCCTAAATGGCTTGGGTCTGAAAAACATGAAGGAATGTCTTCTTCCTTATGTGCCCTCCCACCCCTTGAGATCTGAGGCAGAGGTCCTGCTTCAGTATCACTCCTTGAAGGAGATTTAGGAGGGTGACTACCTGGAGGAGGGCCTTCTCTGCAGTGGCACACCAACTATGGAGTACACTCCCCAGAGAGGTTTGCCTGGCGCCAACATTACAATATTTTTGCCATAAGGCAAAACTCTTTTTATTTTCCCATTATTTTGATGTTTAATTGATTTTATCTGGGGTTTTAGCATTTCAATTGTTGGATGCTGTGGTGTATTGTTTTATTCTACTCGCTTTATTGTAAGCCATCCCGAGTCACTAGGGGGAATGGGATAGAAAAATAAATAAATAAATAAATACTGGAATTCTTTTGTGGAGGGCTTTCTGCCACCTATCACTGAATAGGTGTGCACATATCTAGGATTAAACACCATTAAATGAATAAATATGTAGTGCTCTGCCAATTTCACAAATATGCAAAAATATTATTAATGCTGTAAACTATGTCTAGGTTTGGTTAGAAAGTAGCTATTGCATATACTGCATTTTTCACCAATTTTCTACCCCCAGAAAAAAATTGTTTGTGATTTCAACATTTTTTTAAATCTACACATACAATGGTGAGTATCCAAGTCAAACTGCTTGTTTCCATAAATTATGTGCTATAGCAAAAGGGATCACTAGCCTTCTTTTCAGGATTCCCCAGAAAAACACCAACTAACATTAAATTAGTCATGGTAAAAAGGTCACAGTTCCCTGCCCAACACCAAACCAAAAGTTCAGTAACGCATCCTCTTCCCACCCTCAAGCCCTGAGTGTAAGTTATCATGTTGTTTGTATAAAACAATGCCAGTTTTAAAATAATAATCATGAAGGTAATTGTGAAGGGATTCCCCACAACTAACACCCACTGAATGCTCCACTTCTCTGAACAAGACCTGTAAGAGCATCTCCCTTTCATAAGATTATTTCAATTAAATATTAATATATTAGCCACTCAACCAGGGACATCTAAAGTTTCTTTTTACACCAATCCTGGGCTTATGACTGAAGTGTGGTATAAAAAGTACTTGGAATGGATCACTAAGTAAAGTGATTAATACTAAAGTAAAGGACTCCAGAATTATTCTAGCAATTACAGATGTGAATAGAATGCTTTTAAAAAGTGGTTTCCAAGAAATCTGTCACTTTTTAAGAACAGATTTCCTAAGTGCATCTCCTAGCACAACCAGTTAAACTAGAGTTACATTGACTTTACATTATCCTGCACGGAAAAGATTTATGTTGAAAGCTTAGATGCAAAATCTAATTATGCAACCTGATCAGGTAGTTCTTATAGTACCTAAAAGTCAGACAGGTTTATTACATTCACAAAGATCTTAGAAGATGGCACCCTGCATAATACTGAAAGTATAAATTGAGAAATCCACAAGTGTTGTGGTAAGGTAAGTTTTTAAGTTTAACACTTTTTTTCTGTTTATGAAAAACAGGAAACCACAATGAACAGAAGAAATTCAGCAACAGATGCAATTTAAAAACAAATGTTAATTTAGTAAAGGAGACAGCTATAGAGTTTCTGTTCTCTTTGTGTGTGTATATATTAAATTTCTATCCTACCCATTAGCCAATATGACTTTCCAAATGGGTTACAAATGTATAATATAATAATAACATACACAATAAATATTAAATTGGACATGTATGCTACACCAGTAAAATTACAATAAAAACACAGAAAAATATAGAAAAATCCCACAACAATCTCCATTTAAACCAAAGGCACAGTAGCGTTAAAATACAAGAAATGCCCTACAACCTCTTAAAATTATTTAATTATTAAAATGTTGGGTAGATGAAAAGGTCTTTGTCTGGCACTGGAAGGAGTACAGAGAAGGTAGCAGGTGAAACTCTTTGAGGAGCTGGTTCCAAAGTCAGGGGGAACCAGCTCCCCAAAGAGATGGTAATTAAAATTTTAAAAAGCAAGTCTTGGGCACAATCCTATGGATATGACTAAGTTTCCTAACTTAGAAGCTCAGCTCACATTTATCCAATGTAGAACTGGAGAAGCAACGGAGGCAATCTTTGCTTCCTTGCTTTGCCCAAATTGCATTTTTTAGAAAATGTCTAAGATCCACATGATTGTTCCCTTAGTTAATTTTGGCAACTCTAAAAAAATATAGTGGGTAAAAGTGAGGGACTGGAACTCAGAAGAACTAGCCCCCACACAGCCATGGAACCACATGGATGCCTTTGGGCCAGTCACATACTCTCAAGCCCAACCTATTTCACAGGGTGGTTGTTGTGAGGGTAACATTGAGAGAAGGATAATTATGTAAGCCTCCTTGAAAGGGAAAAAGGCGGGATATAAATATAAGACACAAATAAATATTGTTGCTCAGAAATACTTCAGCTCGTCATGGGTTAAATAACCTGCAATGAGATGCATTTTGTTGTTCAAAGTGGGTCCCTAATATTTCATTTAACTCACTGTACCCACTGTTAATAACCCTATTGTAGTCGACATGCCAATATTTAAACCCTATTCATGATACCAAAAAGAAGCTTCTAGCTAAAAATGGATTTACAAGGCTAAATTATTGTATGTAAGCACATTTAGCAAAAGTCCAATAATCCAATTTATTTGTTCCTCTGCGGCAAGTCTTGACTTGGAACAAGAACAGCAGAAAGAAGTTTTTTCCTACCACGGTGAATAAAATGTGAAGTTGCCCTAAAAATTTAAGCACTGACATTTTGTCCATAATCATAAACTTAAAGCAATTTTCTTGAGTCATGTAGGATCAAGTAAAGACATCAAAATCTTACTCTATTTGGAAGTTTGGGCTGTGCATCCTTGTAAGAGTTGAAATTCACCTAATAGTATAACGTTAATTTCAGTAAGACTGAATATTAGAATGCTGTCACTTTCCTTTGTACTTGAGAACTTGAAAAATACAAAGAAGCATTTGCAGACTAATTTGTCACAACAAGTACAGCTATAAAAGACATGATCTATGGCATACCACCATGCAGATTAAATGGCAATTCATATCCCTTAGGTTTTAGGCAATTCTTTAAAGAGAAGATTAAATTGTGGTATAAAAACAACTTCTGCTCACGTGTCTCTCAAGCTGCTACATGTTCAGCAGTCTTGGAGAAAATAGCAAGTATGCCTTGTTTTGCACTAATGAGCCTTTGCAAAGAATATTAACATTTCCTTGCTGAATGTGAAGTCCATCTCCTTCATTAGTTCTGGAAAATGTATCATACAATTTAATGATGGAAGCCATGATACTTTTTTCACCCAGGATAATTTTTTTTCCAAAATTTGGAAGAAAAGTTCAAACATAGGCAATTATTTCATATAGATTCAAACCACTGGTTCATCTAGCACAGTGTTATCTACACCGACTTAAAGAGCTCTTCAGGGTTTCAGATAGGTATCTTTCTTAACCCTACCTTGAAATTCCAGGTACTGAATCTGAGACCTTCTACATTAAAAGTATAAGTGTTACCACTGAAACATAGTCCATTCCCTATGGATGTAATCAAAACAATGTTCACAATGCTTTTAGTTCAAATTAAGCCAAAAACTAGAAAAGCCAGTTTTTTTTTTCAAGGATTCAGTTAGTCTTCTTCAGTTACATCTAACTGAAGTCATTGTAAAAATAAATCATTTTATATGTGTCAATTTACTTAATGAAAATAGTGAACTGAATAAGATATTGAACTGTGCAGAAATGGATAGACTGACATTATCTCTTAAGGAAAAAGGCAGATACAGTTTACTTCTAACTGGGACTCTAAAAGTCCCAAAAAGCATGGGACTTTTTCTATCAATGGCTACATATGGGCTAAAATACATAACATTTTGTAGAGAGAAATAAGACTTTGTACACAGTATGTCTGAAGTCTTTATAATAATTTAGTGATTAGAAAATAATAAAACTTTTGAAGAAAAAAAGAAAATAGTGAACTGAAAAAGGATAATATACAAAGACTATTGTAAACTATAGTCTCAATAATCTTAAAGCAACATATATTTATGTCCTTGTCTACATACATACTTGTTTAAAATTATGTAAATGATGGAAAAACCAATACATTATGTGAAACAGGCCTCTGATTTTAAAAAAATCACATCACCAGGCATATTGAAAACTCTTTGTACAATCTATACTGACAAACTGAATATGTGAAAAAAATGATACTCACTTCTCTCCGAAGAACTTTTTCCAGAATTCTGCAGCATCAGCTTTTGTAATGCGAAAGTTGTCACCCTGGAACTGGCCATTAGGGAAAATTGCTTTAATTTCTGCAAGCATATGACTGAATATGAGAGACAGCTTTGTGAGGTTTCGCCTGCCAATAAAACAAAACAGGAGAAAGAAATCATGTCAGCAAAGACCCCTGTTTCTAAGTTGGCATCAAAGGGAAAACAAAGACCTAATCCAGAAAATAACAAGCAGGAAAACTAGCACATCTGGCATCATTTTTTTCATGAGTCGAAAAAGCAATTTCTACATTTTTTTTTCAATTTTATCGTAATAATCTTGTTTAAAACTCACATCAGACATTTTAATTCATTTCACAGAGCATCTACTTCCTCTTCTTGTTTCAAAATACTTTTCTACAAATGTTTTAAATCCTCATGACCAAGCTGAACACAGATTGCATACAAGTATAAGCTAGCCTACTAGTATAGTTGCTACTACAGTCACTACTCTGACCCTTTTAACTTAGGAACTTTTTGTTTAAAAAAGGCCTCCTGCTACTCAGTCACAACAATCTGAAAGGAGATGTTTGGGTTTAGGAAATAATTAGGAAAACATGTTTAATAGGTTTTCCCCCATTTTGCTTTTTTCCCCTTATGATGTTATTTCCCAATGATAAACACCTATCTGCAAATGCATACCAGAAAGTATTTATTTAAGTTCTTTAATGATTATTTAATATAAGACATTACTTTTTGAATACTATCAAAATGTTTGGTGCAGGAATGTAGTTTCAAAATTATATAGGTATTTGATATGCTTCATGATCTGTGCTTATTTGTTATTCCATCTTTTTAACATTGATCAGAACTATGCTACTTTACAGAGATAAGATTAATTGAACTGTAACATCTTAACACAATTTTAATATAAGATACTGAGACAATGGAAAAATCCTACTATGCTTTACTTATGAATGTATTCTAAAAATATTTCTAAAGATTTAGGTTTTTTCCAACAGATTGAACTGGGATTAGAGCAGGTTCAATGAAATCAACAGCTTAGCCATTATGACATGAGTCTAGAATTAACCACTAGTTCAAAAACAAAATTTGGATAAACATTGAAAGCTATTCACACAAACTAATATTGGCTGTTTGTACATGGTGGCAAATGATGTGTTCATCTATCCATAATTTACTTCAGCATGTACTATGCATGTTCAACAGCATTTTCAAATGTTCAAAGCTAAACTAACAATTGTACTTTAACTGTGGGATGCTTAATCCACTATTAACCTATAGACTTGTTCACATGAGTTGCCAACTCATCATGTGTGTTGTGTGAACCTGGGCACATGGCTAGTTTGTAGGCAACAAATAACCCTGACGAACTCTGGCTAAAGCCACTACAGGTTGTCATGTTGTCTAAATTCAAGGCAGCAGATCCGATTGTGGGTCCAGGGAAGTAGTGAGTGAGTCACTTTGCAATAGCACCAAGCTCCCCGTATGGCTACTGTCAAGATTGCCCAAAGCCAATGCCAGTGACAAGGAAATACGTAGTTGCGATTCTGCATATATTTCTTTGTTGATAACAAATGAAAATATTTGCCAGAAAAAAAAGCCTTTCTTTTTCTCATGTCAAGATGTCTTTCACTTATAGGGACCCTATGAATGGATTCCATCCAAAATGTTTTGTCCTTAACAGCCTGCTCAGCTCTTGTAAACTCAAGACTATAGCTTCCCTTATGAAACTGAGCACTCTCATATTTGGTCTTCTCTATCATTCTTCTGTAGCCATGCTTTTTGGTTTTCTTAATGTTCATCTATAGCCCTGCTTTTGAACTTTCACTTTCATGAGCTATCATTTTACTTCACTGCTGCTTTCTGCCAATAATATGGTATCATCTAATCAAATTGCCAATTCATCACCTGCCATTTTCACTCCTTTTTCTTCTGATCCTACTTCACCTTTCTGTATCTGTGTATCATTTTTCTGTATCTTCACCTTTCCATATCTGTGTATGGATTGAACAGATAAAGAAATAAATATACCCCCATCTGATGCCTTGGCCTATAGGAGACTTTTGTTTTACTCCATATTCTGCCCTAGCAGAATATATCGTAACTTAGGCTACTTGTCAGGACAATCAAATGTTAAAGCAAACCTATGTCTTTCAGGAAATAAAGCTTCTCATGATCTACACAATCAAATACTTTGCTGTAGACTATAATTCATAGACTGACTGATCTTTTTAAATTCTTTGGTGAGCTGCAGTAGCCAATGTATATTTGTGAGTGTTTCTTCCTCTTAGGAATCCAGCTTGAATGACAGGCATTTCTTTCCTCATATAGGATAAATTGTTTTCATGCAATGCCTTGGGCATTACATTACTTACATGACAGTTAATGCAACAGTCCTCTAGTTGCTGCACCCCTTAGTTTCTCCTTTCTAGGGGAATGCAATGCATATTGAAAGTTTGAAGTCTGTGGGCCATTATTTTGTTTTTCATATTTGTGGGTATGTTCCTGATAGTATTTGCAGCTTCTAATAGTCCTACTGGTATCCTTTCTATTCCAGGTGTTTTATTAATCCTGAATGCTTTATTCATCATCAGAGCAGCTTTTACTTTGCTTTCTAATACTGAAGTTTCTTCTCACAGGATTCTTTTTTGATGGTGCTTGTCATCCTTTTATCTGGTCTGGCTAGTTCATTATTTGACTATCACATTCCTCTTATATCTCACATTTTCCTCTTGAGAGGAACTCATGATGCCTTACATAGTCCACTAACGGTGAACTAGGTCAGGTTGAGAGTGACTGGTCCAAAGCCTCGCAGTTAGTTGCATGGATAAGAAGGAACTAAAATGTGGATCTTCCGGGTCCCTAATACAGCATTCTCACCACCATGTCATACCAGCAAAGGAGAGAGAAAGAGAGAACTATACTGCTTACACCTTATCTCTATTTTATCTTGGTCAGATAGCACATTCCAATGCTGTTTCTCAACATTTCTACTCTAGGTTGAAAGCACTGTTTGATTACTTGGATATTCTGGAAGAGGTTCTTTTGTTGTTTTCCTATTTCTTTGCACTGGCCATTATAATAATTATTTTTTCTTTCTTTCTGTCCTGATGTGATAGTAACTGAAAATTTGAATTCAGCATTCTGACCATATTTCTTTCCCCTTTTGCTGTTATTTATTAAAATATATTTGTTCCTACTATAGCCCATTATTGGGCTCCCAGTGCAGCTTGCAACAATTAAAACAACAACATTCTGAAATCAATTAATACTAAAAACATTAACAAAGCATCAATAATATAAAAACATAATCCAACAAATTAAGATAATTACATAAACATTAATAAGCAACTATGAATACATAATAACATAAAATACACTTGTAAACCAGGGCTATGTTAAAAACAAGATTATTATTATTATTATTATTATTATTATTATTATTATTATTTAAATCAGCTGATATGTGAAAATAGGTGATACGTCTTTCCATGGCACTGAAATGGTAACATTGATGGAGCCAGATGCACCTCTCTGGGGAGCTTATTCTAAAGATGGGGGGCAACTACTGAGAGCTTGCCACCATTATTTTGTTTCTCACCTGTCTTTAGCAATCAGTGGTGATTGTTCTGACATCCATCTAGGTTTTTCTTTTTTCTTACAGGTTTTTCTTGCTTTATTACCTAATAATGTCTCTGGTCTTGTTACTGTATGTGTCTTACCAATTTACCCTTGGATGCTTGCATAAAAGGTTTCTATTTCATCTTCAGCTTCTGTTTTTGAGGCATGGATTTGAATTATGATAATGTTGATAGATTTTCAAGGAATTCTGACTGGTTTTATTAGGTCAGATTTTGCATTCCAGCCTCTTTACTGGTTGTGCTACAATTTGCCTTAATATTAGTGCCAGTCCATCTCTTAGCTTGTTATTTCCACAGTAAACACTTTGTGTTTGTGCCACATTCCAGTCCATTTTAGTTTGCTTACATCAAGTACTGTAACATTTAATTGCTTCACTTCTTACTTTACAGTTTCCTTGATTTCTATTTCCAGTGCTTTTTTGGTAAGAAAAACGGTGCCGGAACTTATGAAATTATTTACCTTTCGAACGTAGTCAATCGCTGTACACATGCCCACACACGTCAGTTGTGCAACAAAACATAACGGTCACCGCCCGCAGTAAGCACTCAGTGCGAGACCACACAACCGATCACTAGCCAAGCAGCGCCATCACAACCAGCACGGGTGAAGCACACATGCATCGGATTTGACACACAAGCAGCTCGCATGATTTTGCCGCCGACCTGCTATGCTTGGCAGGGCGATTCAAATCCACGTGGACCAAACATCAAATTTTCAAAAGTTACTTTTAAAACTTGGAAAATCTGTTGATAAAAGGTGCTGGAATGCCGTTCCTGTGCGTTCTATGACAAAAAAAGCACTACATATTTCTAACGATCTGTGTTCCAGTTGTGTGTGTTCTTCAGTATCAGAATGTGCTTTTACTTTTCTACATTTCAGCCACTAAACTTCCTTTCAGTATTTATCTAGTTGTGCCATTCATATTATATGTAGTTGGGCTTAGCAACCTTCATTATATGCTATCAAATGTATGAGACAGAAAAAAGTATTAACAAGAAGCCAAAAAGATAAAACTAAAACTTCACTGGTGAGTTCATTCCATAATTGGGTAAGGCCTTCTCTCCTGTGTTGCCACCTTCAAGCTACCCTCTTAGGAGGTAACTGAAGGTATTATAAGTTTTCTAAGGCAAAAGTGTGGGGCAATGTAAGAACTGGAAGCTGTGTCTGTATGGCCCTTTTCTTTCCAGTTCACTATTTTATTTCACTTTGCTGCTGACCACTTTTTCCTATATTGTCTCCGTCTACTGAAAACTCTGCCTTGTTTGATTCGGTTCTATCAACATGCAAATACAGAACAATCCTATCCACTCTGTGTCTTTACACAGGTAAGTTTTGTTAGAGAAACATAACAAAAGTCCTATTTGATACAACATAAATCAAACTACATCAGCACAGGCATCCTCTACTGCAAATGCTCACAATGTTTTCTGCTGCACACTAGCAGACACAACTGGCTTCATGCTGCACTAGAGGCTTTTCATGC